CGAGTAGCGTTACGGAAAATTCTGTTGATGAGCACACGCTCATCAACGTGTTCATCTACGGCTTTTTCGATGGGCCGGTGGAGACCTACAGTTCCGAGAGGACTTCCGTACGCTAGAAAAGGCGATAGCGTATGCGTAACAAGAAGACTTCAGCCTGAGACAGTCTCAGGCTAACTCGTCAAACTATCGTCCGACGAGACGACAGGAAATAGGAGGTCCCGAACCAATGGGCCTCTGTTACATCGAGAGCAAGAACTCTCGGTCCCAGAGGTACAGACGAACGGCAAGATGCCATCTCTGTCAGAAGATCGGATACTACGCACATGAGTGTAGTGTCCCAAGCACCTCATCACGCCCAAAGACAGGACGTGATGACCACCGTTGGCCTAAGAAAGGTCCAAGGCGCGGGTCTGAACATGTCGATAAGCCGCAACAGCAAGTCGGGCCGTCAAAAAACGGACAGGGTCAGTATTAAGCGGAGCACCCTGCTGATCTAGCAACATCAAGAGAATTTTCAGGACTCTTAATGAAGATTGCTCCCAACACACAGTCCCTGTGTGTCACTTCCCCTAGTGATGAGGTGTAGCTCATCACTTGAAGATCGAAGTGACAAGTGGAATGTCACTTCGCGCCCTAATTAATTGTGGGGCGTCCAACAATTTTATTCGACGCCAGTCGCTAGAGGATAGTAGACTGATCTATGTTGAGCGAGAGTTCCCTCCAAAGAGGATGACGTGTGCCTTGCTACAGGCGCATCCGTAACAGTGAACAAACGTGTAGTGGAAACCCACTACACGCTAGAAGGAAAGCAGTACGATGATGACTTCATCGTAATGGATTTGGATGACAAATTTGATGTCATCCTCGGTATGCCATGGCTTAGAAAATACCAGCCATGGGTTAGCTGGCAGCATCGATCCGTGAGGATGCCTGCCGTTTGTTCATCGGATGGCCATCTGATGAACGTCTTGGAGCGTCCACAAGCGTGTGGATGTACTACTAGTGAGTGCGATGGCCTCACTTGTGTCACGGTCGTTAGTACGATTGCAAAAGATCACAGTGTAGAAGACCACTGCACTGTGGAACCAGCTTCCGGCACCTGTGTAGAGACACAGGCTGCGCCTAAGGTTCACCACTCGAAGAGATCGAGTGGACTGGAACACGGATGCACACCAAGAAGGGTGCACCTAAGAAGAGAGGATGTGTTGTTTAGGATGAACAACGCGTTGAAATGAGATCGACAATCAGAGAATCGATCGTAGAGCAATCCCGATCGACTGAAACAGATTCGATCGAAGATGACGTTAATGTGGTATTACACCCACAATCGGTACACGTAAAGCAAGAAAGCTCCAGCGTTTCTAAGAATGATAACTCTCGAGATAGTTGTGTTGAGGGTGTAGATCCCCAACCACCTGCGGATGTGTTTTCCCAGGAAATTACCGAGACAGTGAATGTCTTGGTGGATGACAAATCAAGTGTAGGCGCTCATAAACTTGATCTGGTGACATCTCCGAAGTCAGCTTCAGAGTAATTAAGCTGCCAACGCTAGAATTTAAAAAATTGTTGCGAGATCTGCGAGTGACAAGATCAAGCAGATCTGCTTACTCGTCACAGAGGACGAGTACGTCGCCGATATTCGGTTGGCACAAGTGTTTGCTGAGAACGTACGGGTTCTCAGTAGCTCAACAATGGACGAGAGTGTCCTCGATGAGAAGACCCGGTTTGAGCGATACACGTCTCAATCTTGGGAGTCTTTAAACACAAATCCTTTGTACAAGGATTTGGTTGAATTTAGGGATGTTTCCTTGAATCCGTGCCGTGCAAGATGCCTAAGGACAAAGGCACTCGGCATGAGATTGAACTTAGACCTGGTTCGGAAAACTGTGTCATGAAGCAGTGGCCACTGCCTCGTGAACAAGTACTTGCGATCGACAAAATTTTGCCGATAGATTAGCGGCTGGTCATGTGAGGGAATTAGCATGCCCACACAGCTCTCCGACCTTCTGTGTGCGAAAGTCCACAGGATGGTGGCGGATAGTGCACGCGTTTAACAAACTGAACGCTGCAACGGTACCGGCTCAAAAGCCGATCCCAAGAAAAGATGTCACCATAGATGGTATGGCAAAGAGTACCATCTTTTCGTCTATGGATCTGATGGATGGATTCTTTCATATCCTCATGCGTGAACGGGATATCCCGCACACACCAGTGAGCACCCCCAGTGGTATGCTCTGGGAGTGGCTAGTGATGCCACAGGGACTAAGTAACGCCCCCGCAACGTTTAACAGATGTGCTACGAACCTGTTGCGATCGGAGCGCGATTTCGCACCGAGTTACTTTGACGATGTCTTCGTCATAGCCGAGCTATAGATGGAAAGACGGACGTGGAGGTTCATAGAATCCACGTCCGGAAGGTTCTTACACTTATGCGAGAGCATAATTTGTTCGTGAGCCTTAAGAAATGTTTATTCGCAGCGAACGAAATATCACTTCTTGGCTGCATCGTGGGTAGTAACGGTGTACGCCCTAATCAGGAAAAGATCAAGACGATTAGCGACTTGCCTGTGCCAGTCGACGTCAAGGGACTTCGAAAGTTTCTTGGCTTGGCGGAGTATTTGCACAAATACTTGCACAACTATTCCGAGATGACCGTACATCCTCTCGTCTACTAAAGAAAAACGAGAGGTAGTCATGGAGTGCTGAGTGTCAGCACTATTTTATGGGCATTAAATACAGCTTGGTGCAATCGCCTGAATTGGCGATTACAGATCAGGATAGACCATTTCATGTGGTATGTTACGCCAGCGATTTTTCGATCGGCTGCGCGTTGATGCAGTACGACTCAGAAAGCGTTGAGCGCGTCGTCTGTTATCAATCGCGTCAGCTGCAAGCAGCTGAGCGAAATTATCCGGTGAATGACAAGTAACTCCTTGCCATGAAATATGCACTGGCTAAGTTCGGGTATATCTCTTATGAGGTAGGCCCTTCATCGTTTATACAGACCATGCGTCGTTACGCTCGGCCGTTAAGTCCACACCTCTCGCACTCACATGGGGAGGTGGCAGTCTTTCTTCGCGGAAAATAAATTCTTCGTCGAGGATAAGCCAGGACGACTTAATGTCGTTGCTGATGCTCTTTCGCGTCGGCCCGATTTCGAGCCGACTGCTCAACCCAATAGTGGGGGTGATCCCAGTGTAGCAACACTCACAGTGAGTGTCCTGTCGTCGAATCTGCTCGACGACGTGCGAAGAGCATACGCAGAATATGAGTATCTTCTGCGATTGATCGATTAAGGATACAATCCTTGTAATCAAGCTTTGAAAAGCTTGTCGTCTCAATACCGCTCTATAACCGAACGTTATCCTGTTCGTGGTGGAATGCTGTACTATACAGCAGTCAACGGCGACACACCTTGTGTCGTCGTTCCGGCTCATAATGGTTTGCGACTGCGCATCATGTATGAGTGTCACGATTCCCCACCAAGTGAGCATCGCGGTAGGGAAAAGGCTTACCACACGGTGAGTCGTGAATTCTACTGGCCCCTCCAGTATGTGTTTGTACGAAATTACATTTGCACTTGCGAAGTTTGTCAACGGGTGAAGCCTAGTCCTTCATCCCGCGCACCCTTACAGCCTCTTCCGATTCCAGCAGAGTGTTGGCAGTCTGTATCGATGGACTTCGTCTTCGGGTTTCCCAAAGACGTTCACAAGAAAACTGGTGTTTTTGTACTTTGTTGATCAGTTCAGCAAGATGGTACATCTTGTTGCTTTACCAGAGTCGATCACAGCCCAGGGCTGTGCGCGTGTCTTCATCGATACTATCTTTCGAGTTCACGGGTTAACCAGTGATTCGTGTCTGATAGGGACCCCCGCTTCACGGCGGAGTTCTGTCAGTCCGTGTTCCGTTCACTTGGAACACGTTTGACGATGTCGACTTCTGACTATGCAGAAACAGATTGTCAAACGGAACGCGTCAACCGCATCCTCGACGAGATACTTCGAGGGTATGTCCACTCGTTTACGAGCTGGAGTGAGCTATTGCCGATGACGGAATTTGCCATCAATAACTCGGTGCATGCGTCGACAACGCATACACCGTTCTTCGTGACTGGCCTATGCCATCCACGTTTGATCGCCTTCTCAGAATGTGACTCTAGTTTAAGAGGGGGGGTGGACTCGCTCGAACGAAAACCGATCTGGTTCTTGCTCATCACCCGTCGACAATGGTGTCGACGTGATGGATGCCGATGTCGATGCGGTCGATACCGAGGATGACGATGCTGTTATATTCAGCATCGCCATTGACTGCCAGAGTGAGGACAATGACACCCTCACTGGTGAAGAAAACATTCTTTGAGCAGTGCACACGAAGCGCACTGCTGCTGACAAGGATGAATCAGCAGAGTAATATCTGCTGAATCGCGAAGCGGTTGTTCGCTTTGTTCAAGAATCTATTGCAGATGCATTGGACAGACAGAAGAGAAATGCAGACAAACTTGGAAGAGCAAATGTTCTTTCATTTGATATAGGAGACCTAGTTTACTGTCTACATTAAACCTACCGAAGAACGCAGTGACAAACGTGGGCAGCAGTAGGTTTCTGCACAAGTATATCGGTCCACGTCGTGAGTTGCGCCGAATGGGCAACGCACACACGATTAAACTGCCTTGTAGGATTCTCACGCATCCTACGTTTTACGTTGGACGTCTCCGCCCGTACTATAAGTAGAAGCACGTTTCACGAGTCGACGAACACGCCCGCGCTTAATGACCGAGGCCATCTTGAGTGATCCCGTTTTATCGATCCGGTCCAGTCGACTAGCAAAGCGACCTGTTCACGCAGTTCAGCAATGTCTCGACGAGCTACTGCCAGCATCACGAATAGAACGAGTCGAACGTTCTTTCTCAAGTTGCGCAAACGCAAAAGCGGCGGTCATCCGAACGACTGTGCGTTAGAGAATTTTATTATCCCTCACAATATCTTCAAGCCTATAACGCCATGACTGTTCATGAGCCAGGTCATCTTGCAACTGTTCCGTTACACGGTTCGGCTCTTAAACATCAAGCTGATCCGACCTTCGAGAAGGATCAGGTGTTCCCACCGCCACCACATCCTTTGGTGGTCTCAATCGGTGGTCAACGTTTCCTAGTGGAGCGTATTTTGAGCCACCGCGATATTAATGGCGTCCGGACGAGTTACCTCGTCCACTTGCGTGGCTATCCACCGGCGTGGAACAGCTGGGAGCCTCGTGCCCAGCTGATCATTGATGTCTTTAGTCTCGTCGACCAGTAAGACCAGACCCACCCGTTGCGTTTGAAGAAGGGCCGTCGTAAAACGACCTTCCCGAACGCGAGTACAGGGATTGAAAAGTTTCGATCCCTTTGGCCATCTCGGAAGCGATGCGCGCCCTACAGTAGGAATCATTAGGGAGGTAGGCATCCCTAGAGGCACGATTCGAATTGTCCAGGCAACCTGGACACGAATCACCCATCGAGAAACAGGGTAATCCTGCCTTTCTTGACAGCCGGTGCAACTTGTATCGCGCCCCGACGGGGTTGCGTTTCTCAAACCTGATGCGAGCTGCATCAAGTTTGGCGAGCCAGGCCTCACGGCCAATGCACTCGATGTTTTGGATGAGAACATTCCATCCCTGCACCAATGCTTTGCCGTCTTGTACACGGCTACCATCGTGCCACCGATGTTTGAAGAACGCATCGGTGGAGAACTTTTCCTCATCACGGATAGTTTCCGTGCTGGAATCAGGTGGGAAAAAGATTCTGCAATTGAACAACGGGATTCGATCCCGTTCGTTAGTCATGCCGGCCAACCGGTCCAACTCTCTGTATGGCGGCATCCACGGAGACTCCACTTAGGGAGCATGGCGCAGGACCTTTCGGTCCCTGGCCTCTTGGTTGGTGCCAGCGTGAGCGCTGACACCAGTGACACCCCAATCCCTCGAGTTACTTCGCTCGTGGTCATGTATAGGTGCATCACCACCATCCTCACTAGTCCTATTGTTGGATGGACTTGCGTGAGGCGGAGATTCGTCGGAATAATCGCTCGATCCGAAGATCTTGGACATGATACCGCCACGTTGACCAGAGTCAGTCAACCTGGATCTTGCAGTGTCCGCCCCGGGTGATTAGGATGCGTGAGGTGTCGCTTTCGAGTCGGATACATCATCCGACTCGCCAGAATAGATGAGATCTATTTCAGACTCATCTTATTTACAACTCGTGATACTTGCTGCAGACGTAGCGGGTGTACTTGTCGCACGTGGTGACTCACCACGTGGACTGTTCACAACAACAGGCGACGAATCACCTGCTGTTGACGTGTGAGACGCACTTTCCGCGGCTGTACGCACGCGTGAAGCCGCCCTTCTTGCTGCTGCAGTGGCAATCGATCGGATTTCAAAACCGTGCGTATGTTTGGCAAATGAATAAGATTTGACCAACAAGTGCACCCTTTACCAGAGTGATACAACGGTGGTCACCCTGTCCCAATCAATTCTATTCAATTAACGGGTAATTGGTGGTTAGGGGGGCGTAACGGGGTAGGCCGTTGCATGAAATTGACACCAAACGGTGTCAATAGGGATATTGTCTAGCATGACAATATCCTGCCAATATCATCCGAGATGAATAATATTGAATGAATATTATCCCCTTTTGGATAATATTCATGCGCTGCTTCAAGATTGGTTGATATGAAACATGCCAACCATATATTGCCACCAATCGCTGCGAGACACGCGCAATGAGTGGTGAGCAGGTTGTCGTCATCTGACGACGTAGTTTAATATAGTTAAATAAAGACTGAAGTTATATTGATAGCTTAACTATTGTTAATGCATTTCTCTTTTTACCCTTTACTCAGCTTAGTTGTTGAGTAAATAAGCTTCCTCTGCACGTACAAGTGTACGTGAAGTTTCGTGGCACGTAGACAAAGGGTGCCCCGTTACACGCTTTGGGCCAGCTCAACCTGTATCATGCTGGGGAATACCGAGATCAAAGTTGTCGAAAGACATTAGCTTCTCCGGTCGCGAAGACATTATAGGAAGTTTGTTGTGAGTACATCCATGCGCCGTATCTCTGCGGACCAAACCAGTTACGCATTGGGCTGGGGAACGATGTTCACGCGAGCGCACTCAATAAATCCTGGAAGCATGCGCTAGCATACAAGTACAAGCTGTTCCAAAGCACCGGGCAGGAATCGTGACGAAACGGTTCCAAGATGATGTGGTGGAGGCCGAACGGGTCTGAAAGCGAATCTGGCACATCCTTGCCACGATAAATCAAGCGAATCTGTGGACTAACCGAAATGAAGCTGTCTACCGTGCGGCATCCGTTGATGTACGTGGGAGCACAAACAGTTATCAGGTCACCTGCATCTATCATCCACGATTGACCGCGAAGCAAGAGCATCGAAAAGTTGCGACCGCAACGTCGGGTGCCACGCGCTATGTATGCATTGAGTTGCTGGAGCACGAACCTACAGAGATGCCAGTATTGACTGGTACCAGTCACGGTCAGCCCTCGGATCACCCTCCGGTGATCACGGCGTGACTTAAGATATACTAGAGATCTTGCACATAGGTACTACAACCACGGAATATACAATCTAGACCACCATCTCAGCGACGGATACAGCTCCTTTTGACACGATTTCCTGGTACTGTACGTGACTGGCTTTTGTTGAACTTTTCGACAAATTCTATTTCGAATAACTGGTTGTTGTTAACATACTGCTCTTTCTCTAACTGGACATGAAACTCACCAGAGAAATCCTGAAAAAAAAATTCGCTCAAAAGCCCAAGTGGATCACCCCAAGCATGAAAACAGCCACACTAAACATTGAAGGCCACGGCATCAGGCAGACCTTTATTCATAGCCTCCATGTCCACCGAGCCGCTTTCAACGTAGGTGTTGAGAGCGCGGAGCATGCGAAGTTGCTGAAATTTATGAAGCCATCCGTGCGAGATAGTGATGGCGTCGTCAGGGGTACCAAGCAATTGAGCAAGCCGATGAGCCTTCGCACAGATGACGTCCCGGGTGATAATCTCTCCGTGTGTTGACATTGCAGGACCCGAAGAGACATAGCTTCTACCAGTATGGGATGTTGAACTATTCACTGTCGCTTTGCTTATGGGCTGCTTGGATCCATATTCTCTAGATTAGGCCGCTTTCGAAAGGTCTTGCTGATTGATGTCTGTGACAGCGTTTCGATAAGGCCGAACTCCTCCGTAGCCCATTTCGTCAGTGTCGTTTGAGATAAATCTGGGTTCTCATCCTTGTGTTTGCATATTTGCACACGTTTTCCATTGGTAAGATGGATCTGCAACATTACATACTGCTCAGATATCACACCAACAGACAAGGCTCAGTTTGAAATATAAACGAATGTGGCTTCCCTGTGTAATAATTGTTAGCTCAGACGAAATAAGCTATGGGTGCGTCTCATAATATTGGGAAGTAGCAAACTAGCCAGAAGCCTGAGGCTTTTATTCTGTTCCAGCAGGGGAATGCTTAGATTTGGATTTCGGCTTGTACTTAAGGAAAGTGGAGGTTGGTTCGGGTGCCCAGGTCCGCTCTTTATCACTCAATTGACTGATTCTCCTGATGTACACAAGTTAACAAGTTAACAAGTTGAACCTTCTGCTAAGATATGGTGATCGTCGTCCACCGTACCCATAGCGTATCGGAAGGAAGACTGTAGTTACCAAAAGGACAAATCGATGATTACATCGATTGATCACGTCTTATTGGACTGTGTTAGGATTCAGAAGGACTGCGTCACGATCCACGGTTGTTGACAAAACATCGTTTGTGCTCAGACATCCCGACAATGTTCTCGCATTCAAATGTCCTAGTGATGTTCCCGAACCTGGTAGAAGAAGCTCATCTGCAAACACAAACGCAGGAAATGATTCCTTTTTCAATTTTATTGATATCCTCAGCTTATTGATGCGTAACGTGCTAGTTTAGCGCGACGCCACAAAAACCAATAGGAGCTGGGTAGACGAGCGTCTCTATGTTCATCGATATCCGGCGCGTCTTTCTAGTAAATCCAAGTTAATGAATGCGATGGGGATGGGAAACATATCTTCAGGTGTCACGCGTCAAGGAGTGAATGAGCGTCCATAAGAAAGACCGTGGGGAGTCATAAGAAAGACCGTAGGGAGTCGAAAACTCGTATGGCAAGTTGGATGATAGAGGCTGCACAAGCCTGTGTGTTTTATATTGTTCAACGCATATTAGCGAAAGGGAATTCCGGTAAAGTTGCTTCCGACAAGTAAGCAGCTCATAATGTCTTAGTGGTTTTGTGCGATGGAAGGAAGGTGTGGACCTGTTGACATTAATTTTGTTGATACCGGATGACCTGGCGAGCTGACTTTGCCAACGATCAAACGATTTTCAGAAGAGCAGATCAGTGAAACATCTTGAGCGTCCGGGTCACCTGAGCTATGATGCCTTTTGTAGGTTGAATGGCGAACCACTCTCTGACATTTTCTGATGGATAGCGCCTGGGATACTAACCTGACTTGTGCACTGGAGAAATAGACCGCGATTCGACAAGGATCCAAAAGACATGTGACTGATAGCAGATACGTTAGACTCCCGTCGGTATATGCACGATGCTTGTTGACGCACTGCAACACTGGGTGATGAAATTTTTTGCTCCAAATTCCGAAGCAAAGTTTCTTTTCCCTTGTCTCTCGAGCCATCTTGCATTCAATAAGCTAACCGTAGAGTGCGATCTGCAGCAACTGGTCATTGCAGAAACCTTTGATCACCACGCATAAGCCATCTTTGTGATTGCGATCGAGCTGAATGTCGAAGGCATGAGCATAACCACGTCTAGATGAACTTGCCGGTATGTTGGAGCTAGCGCTGTACGCTTCGGAGCGGTCTTTTTAAGCTTCGTGGAATCTAATTACATTACAGTGCACTGTTCCTGGCCTGAAACACCACCAATAACACCAAAAACAACGTCAGTGCACACCAGAGCAAACCAGCTAGTGCACGCTGGTTCGACAGTGCATACCGGGTATACCAGCCATGCCGGAAAACGTACCAGAGCCCTGCAGAGTCAGATCACTGTTAGACTTGCATGTTCAGAGCAGCTAATTGCACAAAATGAACAAACACTAACCATATTGGGCATGACTGGCATTCCTTCGTCGTCAAACTGCAAGCCTAAGGAAGACAAATAAAGTGCGTTGTTACTAGAGCACTACGATACCAGTGCAAAAGGGTGTTTACCGGGAGCAAGGTCCTTCACGATCTCCGACGGCGGCTGACCAGTCTCCTGCATTTCTTGCATAAGCCCTGACAGTCGAGCGTAATTGTCGGGTTCTGATTCGTACACAGCAACGATCTGCTGAAAGAATTGATACTGCTTCCTATATCTGCACAAAACCAACAAATGTTACCAACACCATCGCTAAGAATATTCAAGCGCCGCCATTATAGCGCCAACCTTTCATGCTCGTCTTTTGGAAGCAGGGGCTCTTTTTCAGATAACCATTCAGGATACTGCATGCACCAAAGCAGAATAAGGTTCAAACCTGTCGCAAATCGGCAACAATTTGCCAGAAAAGTGTACCCGATCGCAGATCTGCTTCATAGGGTCATACATAACATCCTTCGACAGTAGCTGCTGCATCATCCCGTCTACTAGATCTTGGAAATCGTTCTGTCGATACAACGGCAGCGCCGTATACCCACACACATTGCGCGTCAGCTTTGCCACCCTTTGGACCATCCAAAAATTGTCCCCCTCCGCACCTTTTCCCCCATCTCTTCAAACTTTTTCATCATCTCAGACATCATCTCTTCTCCCATGGCCTCCACCTGATCCGTCCCGACATCATCCACCCCTTCCGCTGCCTTGGCCATATTCTGCAGTGTCTTTGCTACCCCAGCATCGACGTCGTCTGACTCATCAAGCGTCGTGCCAGTCTTTAATGCGCCCAAGAGCTGCTCAATATCCTTCGTATCTGCTAAAAAATAAACAGGCAGCCACCAATAGTCCAATGTTACTTACTCCATCTTTCTCCATCAAATCTTGCACACAAGTCTACAAAAAACCGTCTGTCCCCAGCTCCCGGAATGCCTGCTCCAGCACCTCCTGAAACTCTGGATTCTGAGCATTTCCAAGAACCTCGGCCATATTCTATCACGAACCACGATCCAGCATCAGACCACCACTCGGATCTCATCAAATTCCTCAATATAATGGTCACCAACCTCTTGAAGCTTTTTGTCTCCATTTTCTTCTGCTTTAGTAGAAGCAGGAGGCGCTTCGAGCTTCATACTGGAGACCTCCGAGACTTGAGTGGCGCTTATTTCATCAGCAAAGTCGTCCAGCGCATCTGTAACAGCATAGAGAGGGACGTGAATGCTGTTGAGATACTGAAGAAATTGTGGGGAGTTTACCATCGAGGAGGTCGTCCAGATCCACTTCCTCCTGCGTCTTCAGCTCGCTCTCCTCCTTTCGGCTCATTTTGAGCAAATCGACAATTGGATTGGTTCCTATGGCACGAGGTCCTAATAACGACTAGCTATTTTGAGGGAGCTAAAACTGGGATCAGAATTGTTTTGGCTGATTCGAGCATGTGGCCTTATCCTGCTTTTCGTCAACGTGATTTGAGTTCATTTCTCTTTTAATTGGATTAATTACGGCGAATCTATTCGATATCATGCGGTGAGTTAACTTCAAGTGGGCTCGTACGACAAAGACGCAACAATGAGAAACTGAGTGTGGGTAAGTCGCCGCGACTTATGAATCGTGTTGACGAGGAGACATGACCAGCTCTGCCCGTGATTACATGAGGACCATGAGTACGCGTTAGTGCTCGGACAATTCGATGGTGAAGAAAAGCAAAAGCACGCTGTGAGTGCGAAATGTAGTAGACGTAGAAACCAACCTATCTAGTCGTACACGTGCTTCGCATCCTCAGGCCACTCAGCCGCGTATCTAAAAGCTAAGATTGATTTCTTTCGTGCTACAGAGTAGGTAAAGATGGTAGAGACGTAACTGCTTGCGTTATAAAAGCCGCATCGGTATTTGTCAGACTAGTGTGTGGTGGTACGTCTGACATGCATTCTTTCACAGCGACATTGCGAGCACAAGATGCATGGCCTGTGTTTTCAATAGGTTTTGCACCTTATCTGCCGTTGAGGCTCACGTTTGTACAGTGACAAACGAAGGCTGAACGGTGCGTCGATGGCTGACCCAAACAACAAGTATAGTGGTCATGCGCTGAGAAGTCTAGGGATCATGTTTAAACGTGTATGCTAGTCAGTCTTTTCCAGAGCACTACGCTTCTCAGTCGTTTCTAAACAAAGTGCACCTATTATTTACGGAGATAAATACGAACGTAGCTAATGTCAACAAGTCAACGTCAGGCTTCACCTATCTTTGGACAGACGTATTGCAGAGAAAGAAGCGATGCTTAGCCACTGTACTTCCACCATGACGATCATAAGGTTCACCTTTACGACGTGATTACATACAGGGATTAGCTGTCTCGCTGGTCGGTCGCATTGCAATCGATACCTCAAGTCGATGCCGTATCAGACTCATCTTCAACAGGCTCCACTGCCACATCGAATGAACATGAAGGCAATTTGACCGAACGTGAGCAGATTGCATATGCCACATAAGTATATGCAGCAATATACTATGGACGTTGTGTGCACCATTTCGGTCAGTTTTCATTTTATCCGCCATTCCGGTTCATCGATCCCGAGGTTGTAGAGCGGATATTCGTTGACCTGACCGGATACCATTCAACAGACTCGAAAGCTCACCGCACCATACGTGTCAACGCAGTGACCGTTCACGATTTCACCTCCACCTCCCTCCCTCCCTCCTGATTCCAGCACCAGCCGTAACCGCAAAACAAGTGCAACAATCTCGAAGTCGAAAAATACCGTCCCGAGTCACCACTATACAACGGGCACCGAAGCGTTTTTACTCCAACCCTCTGCTCTCGCATTTCTAAACCTCGGCGTCACTTCGCTGTTCATTTCTATCACGCGACAAAAAAACGAGAGCGTCCGTACTTGGACAGAATAACGCGCTTCGCGCAACATTCCGTCGCCGTCTCCACTGCAGCACCGACATCACGCGACCGACGTGACGGTTTGTGGCCCAACAATCATGATCACGGCGTCTGTGCGCGTGGGCTCCAGTCTGTTGCTCGAGCCTGCGCACGAGCTGCTGTTCCCCCTGCCAGACAGTACTACTACACCAGCCTCTCCTCGCCCCCGCTGCACGCTCTCTCTCACGAACCTCTCGCAGTGCAACGACTTGCTCTTCCGCGTCCGAACTCGCAACCCGGACGCGTTCACAGTCCGTCCGACCTACGGGTTAGTACCGCCTGGAGCGTGTTGTGAAGTAGTTGTAACCGCCAGTGCAAAGACGTGCGAGGGGTTGAGAGCTGTGGACCCATTGGACTTGCAGTCGCGTCAACCGTCGGAGCTTTTCCTCGTGCAGAGTCTGGAGAGAGCGAGGGACGGTCAAGCGATGGAGTTCCTAGCGACAAAGTCAAGCGCGTTGGTGCGGGAGCTGTGGAAGAAAGTGGACAGTGATTGTGTTGCTGAGGACAAGGTGGCCTGTCGCTTTGCTGCAGTGGCATCAGACGGGGTAGAAGTCGCATCAAGCAACGGAATGGCGTCCTCGCGCAGCTTGAGGAGCGCGAGTGCGAGTTTGGACGAGTCTCGATCGAGTCGAAGTGGGAACAGGAGCTCCAGTATGAGCGCAGCCGAGTCTCGGTCGAGTTGCAGTAGCAGCAACTGTGAACGAGGCACTTCGCAGCGGTCGTTGAGCAGCTACTTGCCATCTGGGAGAGAAGTGCATCGAAGCCGTCATGAATCGGTTGGCAGTGATACGAGCTATTACACAACAATTGAGCCTCCTGTGCGTGTACGTGGTGGAAGTTCAGAGGCGAGACGACCGGCGGTGACTAACTGCGGGGTTGCGTCGACGGCAGGACGACGTGGCACTTCCGTAACTAACAGCTCATTGAGCGACACAATGATGTCTGCTCGCACCGGGTTTTCCACCGACACGGTTGCGACTGAGTCGACCTACGATTCGAACTCGTTGCACTACCATATTCAGCCGGATGATGCGCTGTCATTCGATGTGAAGCCTGCACCGCGCATGTGGGGAAGCAGGTCGTTTTTCATTGTGAACTCAAGTCCGGATAGGTGCCTTATGTTTAGGGTGCGGACGTCGAACCAGTCAGGCTATGTTGTGAAGCCTAGTCGAGGACTTGTGTCAGCAACGAATGCGCTGGAAGTGACTGTCTGGATATGTGCACCTCGTCACGAAAGTGAGTTTGATCCTACACAGCGTGAGGCGAAAGACAGTTTTCTGGTTGAAGTCGCCAATATTTCGCGGGACAAGTACGATGATTTGATGCACGTTGACGAGCAAACGCGCACCGAGGAACTGAGACATCTCTGGACTCTTGTGCCTCGAAGTGAACGCCAGTCGACGATGCTTGCAGTTAAGCTGAAGATGGAGAACAGTGACAGGATACGTAGCACCCGCACGAGGTCTACGAGTGACGCTTACACTGATTCTCGAAGCAGGATGAACGCCGCAGTAACTGAAAGCAGAAATGAGAGAGCCAAGCGTCGACCAGTAGCGTCACTGGTCGAAGGTTTGAAAGAGCTTTCCACTTCTTCATCAACAGGCGCGAGCACAGCAGGGAGCAACATCGACTATCGATACTCGGACACGGACGAGTCTGTGTTCACTATTGCTCCAACTGCCGTGCGCACTGAACCCAGCAACAATGACAGCGATGACAACGTGGTCGAAAGTCCATCTTTGCACGGTCCTCAGAACTCGACGGTGCTTGTCGTGTCCGCTGACAGGATGGACACTATTGATTTTTCCAACCCGAAGCTGTCGTTCTTTATATAGCTGCTGTACAGCGTAGTCCGCTTGATACTCCTCACGAGCTGATACCAACTTACTTTTGTGGTTCCGCAAGTCGTCATCCTCCTGACAACGACAGCAGTTCGAAGGGGTTCAACATGTAGATTTCGTGGAGTTATGTATCGATCGCCATTGTTATAATCTGCGTCTCACTTCTACTACGCACTAGAAAGGGTTGGCTACGCAAGACCTCGCGTCCATCCGTCCATCCACCCACCAGCTCGTACCGCTCTACTTGGTCGTCACGATTTTCTCCAAGTTCTTCAGAACCTTGACCGTCGAAGACGTCCCCAGCATGTTTATGATGCTCGATGGGATGGATCCCGCCAGGTCAGCATGTGCCACGAGGGTCACGACGCAATACACGTCGCCATTCGTCTCCTTCACTTCTTCAATAATGTAACCCGAGACGTAGATGTTGGCACGCACGTAACCCTCAAGAGGAGGGACGTCAGCCACATTGACCGAGCGCGTGGCAATCACGACACGTCCGTCCTCGAGCGTCGTGGCGTACGTGACCACTAGAAACTCCCGACCGTAGATGGGGAACTGCCCCTTGCTGGTGATTTGACGGAACGCCAAGCTGTTCTGCTTTCCCACGTCGCGCAACGTCGCGATACCTTCCATCATCTCGTCCAGCTCCAGCGTCCGGTGCGGATCCAGTAGCACCTGCTCCACCACGCTCTTGTCCGCGTTGATACGGCAAGCAGCACGGAACGGGCACCAGTCACAGTGTTGCACGGCTCCACGCCAGACTTTAGTGCCATTCGAGTCGTCCACGAGCTCCCACGTGGTCACCTTGTCATCGCCCGTGTGACGGTCCAGCAGGATCTGGATGTTTTCCTTGCCAAAAGCCTCGAAATCCACGTCGTCCGCAGTGGGGAAAGCAGCGGCTTCAGAGTTGGTTCGCTCTGGTTCTTTCGATGCCGTTTCGATGTGCTTCGTCAGGAAGTTCATTGTGCACTGGACGCAAGAAAAAGAAGAGTGAGTGGGCTTCGTGGCAGCCTTGGACGAGTAGTTTTGGTTCTTTTCTGATGCTGTCTGTTGATGGCAGGTGAGATGGCCGCAGTGGTCGAGATGGGGCGGCTGGGTGGACCTGTGATAGCTGATCGTATCGACGAACGGACGCTGATCGGCGGCTCAGTTTGATCAGATTTCGGAATACTGCGACGGTGGACGCGAACGGTTTGCAGTGCAGCTTTTATGGAGTGGTGCAGGAACAGTAGCAGCAAGCAGACGAAGCGGAGAGAGGGGAGGAGCCAGAGATTAATGGGAGTGTTTACACCACACCTAGAAATGATGGCCGGCCTGCACTGAAGGGACAGTGATTTCGTGATGGCTGCTCGGCCCAGAAGGATGTAAATAGCGCAAGATGTCACCGGTAACGAACTGCTGAGACAAGAACTCATGCTTGTCACCGAGCACGAGCTCCAAAATGACGAGCAGGTGGTAGAGGTCGAAATGTAGCGGTCTTTTACTCATGACTTTTGTGGCAGTGTTTACTCGACACGATCGTCCGCCGAGATGTTATCGGCTCAAGTGCTGCAGGATCATTGACGTCAAAGGTGTTTTCTCCGCAAAGTTAGACTCGAAACAAAGTACTGCGCTCTTGCTTCAGTTTTTCAACGACTCACGTAAGATACTATCTCGTGGGCTCGAAGGTAATGAGCGTTGGTTCGATCGCCAATGTTCCGCTACTTGTCGAGCTCGTTCGCACAAAGTTCATGGGCTAGACCTGGGAAAGACGAAGCGACGAAATCTACCTGGGCGTGGTATCGCATGAAGGCTGCTGCGAAAAGCGGTAGCGTCGTGAACACCACTACAACGGCAGCGGAACATGCTGTCGCGTGCATTTGCTTGAGCGAATGATCGTGTACGCGCTCGTACAACTGAGGGCCGGCAAACTTGTGGGTCAGTTTGCTGCCCCCATCGACGCATCCATCTTGATCACGTTCTTTGACTTCGTGCATATCGTGCTTTCTCAGCGCATCGTTTTCCATTTGATCTGAAATCGCTGGGTTGCGCACGTATGTAGTCCCTCACGAAATGCGGTCGTCATGGTGCACTCTTGGTACTGAAATGCGAGAGGCGTGATCCGAATGCGGCGAAAGGTGCTCACATCACGCAGTGTGTACTGCACATCCTGCTCACCAAGAAATGTGTGCAAATGCAACGACGCGCATCTCCTGTAAAGGCACAGAAAGATCAGTTACAAGTGTGAAAGCGAACGCGCTACGAGATCTGACTCGGCGACAGCAACAGTGCAAGTCGTTGCGGTGTCCGCGAGTGTCGAGGTTCAATTGTAGTAACAATCAGCAAGAGTATGATTCCGATCAGCAAGAGTATGATTCCGATCAGCATCGAGGCATCCTGAAGAGGTCGTTGCAGCATCGGACGACGGAAACTATACTTTCCCTAGTGCAGCTACCACAAGATTGAACCACGAGAGCAGTGAAGGCCCATCAAGATCACAACATATCGGAGAAGTCCGTGAGACGTCCATGGGAAGAACAACAGCGCAAATTAGGCTGCGATCTATAGCCAAGGTACACCTCGTTTCTGAAGTCTTCTACTAGATTTGCGTCACCCGGAGATACACACGCCCTCTGACGTTACCATCGACAACATTCGCCGTGATAGCCGATACCAGCTTCGTTCAAATCGAATAGACCGACCTTAACCAGGTCAAAACACTAAGACCGACAGCAGTGGCAGCCGATCAGTGTCCGCTACATTTGCGAGTGCTTACAAACACAGCCCGGAAATCGGAAGCTGGGGATCGAGTCAAGTGGTCGTCACTCTCATGGGAATACTCTGGTCGGATGCTGAAGCTACAAAAAAGATGCGCCACGCTGCTTCGTGGCATGACGCATTCGTCGTAGGAGATCGTGAAAGTACCACGCGCATCTGTCGTGGTGCGGTGACCTCCGGACAAAAGAAAGCATTGGTTCGTAAGCACGAGAGAGATGGTTTTCTGACGACAGGTCCACGTTCAGACAGTCGGAAGTCAACAATGCAGCAACGTATATCAGGCCTCGCCGAGAAGTAGCTCTGTTCGTGTGATTGCTCGTGCTTCGTGTGCCAATTGTCAGTGCAATCCGAAACCTCGAGAGTTCAGTTCATCGATCGCAAAGGTCCGAGCGCAGCTTGTACTGCACAATCGATTGAACACCCGCGACCTCACGGCATCAGTTTCCAGTCGAACAAAGTTGTTGCTGACTGTCGAACAATCAAGACCGAGATCCGGGCGGAGATCCGATTTCGGTAGGTATAGCTGCGATACTCGACGCGCTATGCTGATGAGTAAATTCAATCGTCTGTTCATGCACCACCGATTGACTCCCGAACTTAGCGGGTGATGCAAGACGGACACAATTAGCTCATCGAAACGTTCAAGCCGTGATGGCCACCGCAGAAGAAGTAGATGAACAAATAAAGGGTAGCATAGCGACGAAAAGGTTCAACAACTGTGGTAGCTGAAGATGCCACAACGAACTGGCTGCAAGTCGTGTAGAAAAACAATGTGGTGCATGGCCTATACGAAATTCTCTCCCAGCGGTAAAAGTTCGTTGGTACGAAGTAATCGTCAGATGTTAAAAAGTGTGCGTTTTTGTGCTTTATGTACGTGTGTGCCACGACAGCCCGATATGGTCGACTTCTGTCGCTGTGGTAGGTTGTGACGCCCAACGTTCCTGCCCAGTTTGCCTAATTATGACTTCCAACGAGATTGTGCGTCGTGGATATGGGAATTTGTATGCAAGCAACCACCGCTGCGACTTTTCTATGACGTCTTGACGCCATAGGAATGACATCGCCGCTTCCCTCTATCGCCCAGAAACAAGGAGACGAGCAAAAATGGACTTGCAACACTCACACACTTTAGTATTCACTTCAAGTAAGACATCGTCCCGTCTGCCCGTTCGTCGGCCGTGGATATTCAGCACTCCGTGTCGAGTGCCATTCCAGTCACTTCGTCAAGCGCACACAGTCCAGTAGCCCGTCATGTCGCTAAGGGGGTCCATATCGCTAGGAGAGTCCGTGTCACAAAGGGGGTCCACATCCAGAAGGGAGGCCATGTCGCTCCGGCAGTCCACCATGTCGCTCCCCAGTCAGTCCCGTCGTCGCAAGTCGGTGGAGGAACAGCAGATGATGACTCGCGCCTCTTCGTTCACCAAGCGACGCCCCGACAAGCAGCCCCAGCGTCTCCTGTCCACGCAGACAATGGAACAGATGCTGCTCGACAATGTGCACGTGGACTTCATTAAAGCCGTAGTGGCTGGCAAGAACATGTTGGCCAGTCCACGCTTCGTCATGCGCGTTAGCAACGCGGCACTGGACCAATCGTGGGAAATGGCGAGGACGTTCAAGGAGTTTTGCGAGCTCAAAGAGGCGATCATCGCCGTGCTCGACCACGGCCACTTCTGTCCGTCCAATTGCCCGTGGCTCTACATGTACGCTGCTCACCACTTCCCCCGTCGTCGCATCTTCAGGTCGCGACGTCCGTCGGTCATTGCAAGTCGTCTGTCTGGATTACAGACGTACGTCTCGACGCTCTTGCGCATGGCCAAGCAGAACCGCAACCTCGAGTGCGCTGTGTCGTCGACGAAACTACCGCAGCTCATTTACAACTTTCTGTTCGAGGGCATGGTCTTTGGCCAGTCAGACTTTACGCGATTAAGCGAGCACCGGCTGTCGCTAGCTGGTCGAGATAGCACCTTTGTCGACAATGATTACCCGACACAAGAAGCAGAGGACTGTTTTCTCTGTCGCAAGGCGCTGGTTGCCGATGACAACGTATCGATCGTCCCAGCGTCTCATCGCAGTGGGTTGAGTGGTGACAAGAAGAGCGGCAGCTATGCGATGGCAGGTTTGACGACGCTTTTGTGCGGCCATTGTTTCCACGACGAATGCATTCTCGTGAAACTCAACGAGTCGCTACTGTGTCCGCTCTGCGCCACACATGCCGGACCACCTCACTCGAGAGCTGGTTGAGACTCGTGTACCATATAAGATTGCTGAAGGTAGAAGTAGCTCGTGGGAGTTCCTAGTTGCATATTCATGAATGAAACAGAATGATACTTTGCATCCCAACGTGGTGGCGAGATAGAGTCGGATGACGAGGTCGATTTTGGAGTGTATACTTTGTATACACCCCCCGCAAAAGAGCGCGTCATTACCACATGGGTCTCTTATTTTACTTACATGGCTACATCCGCAGGTGGTCCACATGAAGTCGTCATTTTTCAATGAAGCGTGGTAATGTGCGCAGCCAAGAGGTGAGCCCCGGACTTCTTCGCCCTCTCTGTCCCGCTCCATACCGTATAATGAATGATCCATCCACCTCTATGACTACTGACACAACACATGCGTCTTCTGTCTTGTACCACTTTCTTCTGTTATTTGATTCTCCTTTTGCAGGTAACAGACGCTCAAGGCCGTCGACGTTTCCACGGAGCCTTCACTGGCGGCTTCTCTGCTGGTTATTACAACTCTGTGGGCAGTCAAGAAGGATGGACCCCGCAGACGTTCTCCTCGTCTCGTGGTAGTCGCCCGTCGAGAGTTGAGCAACGTCCTGAGGATTTCATGGATGAGGAAGACGATCCGCTGCTGGGCAAACGTCTGGAGACGTCGGAACTCTACGATACGCTGCAAACAGACGCCAAACGACGACTACAACAGCAATGTCAGCCACATGGGTCTAGTGCTGCCGTCATCCCGGGGTTCACACTTCCTGAAGATTGGGCGTTGCCGGTGAATGAGTCGATTGGAGCCAAGCTCTTGAAGCAAATGGGCTGGAAAGAAGGACATGGCATTGGTCAGCACGTGCGACGGCGAAAGTTCAAGAAGAAAGAGGCAAAATTGCTACAACAAGATGAAGGTGAGGAGGAGGTGTACATGCCACCTCGAAAGGTGTTCGACGTGCAGAAAACTTTCCCGAAACCAAAGTTGGACCGGTTTGGAGCTGGCTTTGACCCGTACACGGATGCTCCTGAGTTTTCACTCTGTAAACGAGAGCAGAAGGAGAGACAGAAAGCAACTGAGTTGTCTCACCACCAAGGAGTGTCGTTTGTGGACGCTTTGAAGATCACGAACGGTAGTAACCGTGCAACGAGTGCGTACGGACTGAGTGCGCTGGAAGAAAATGATGATGTGGACGTGTACGGGACCGTCTCAATGGCCGAGTTTGATCGAGTGATTGCGTCAACTAGGACGAAAAGTGACGTAAAGCGACTGGGTTCATCGACTTTAGGGTCCCACGGACTTGAGAAGACGAGGCACAGCCGAGCGCTTTGTTCAGACGGGCGGCCAGTGCTTCCTGGCTTCGACCTGGCGGGTTCCAGAGAGAAGCCCTCGAAGGAAGTAATTCCGCGTCTAGCAGTTCCGTCCGGATTTAAGGCACATCATCGATTTGGTGAGGCTGAAGGCGAAGACGATGCTGTAACACGTATGTATCACAAGCATAATTTTGCGACAGCAAAGACTGTAGCTGGCTCAGTTGTAACAGCGAAGCAGAGAAGTGCTCTATTCGACGACGATCGTCAAAATACTCGATTTGACACAGGTAAGGTGGGAGCTGATGCTGCTGAAGTTGTGAAACCAATCGGGAGTGTGTTTGACTTGCTTGGCGAAGACCAGAAAGCGAAGCTATTCAGTGCTGCCGAACGAGCTAAACAGGGGTCGGTCTCGTCTCACAGAACCCCTGCCGCTGTGGTCAAAGCGTCGACTACATTGAACGACCGGGAGCCATTGGTACGAGGTAGTGCCGGCTGTCAGTTTCGCGCAAAAATTTCTGCGTCCATCGCCAAGAGGTTTGTCGCGTCAACGTCTACTGCGGGCGCGGGTAAAAGTGACTGTGTGCAAAACGAAGAGCCTCAAGCCAAGGTGTTGCGTCGGTCTCAGAGTTCATGGATTCCAAAATCATTGCTGTGCAAACGCTTTCACGTGAAGTGTGTGGGACCGACTGGATCAAGCGGTAAGGATGACGAGAACGGCAAGAAGCGCGATTTGTTTGATGAGGAACTTGTTCCGCGCTTGATGGAATACGCCGCTGATCGAGCTGCTTGCAATCAATCAGAGGCCGGTGGCAATGAGATTGTTCCAGCCGGCGAGCCCCAAGGACTAGAGGCCCAGGATCTGCCACCATTACCTGCAGTCAAGCACATTTCTGCCGGTCTCCTGAAATCCATTTTTGAGCCTTCGGATGAGTCGGAGGTGAGTGAAGAAAGTAGTGACGAAGGTAGTGACGATGACAAGGACGAGAATCGGACCAGCAAAGTTGATGAGAGCAAGCAAGAGCTGCCTTCTACGTGGTCGTTGGAAACGCATCGCAAGTCATGGACAGGTGGTACTGAAGATTTGCCATGTAACAGCGCTGGTGCACACTCAAGTTCATCTGGTGATGGCACGGGAACTGCCATTGGTGTTGCCGCGATTCGTGGTGTCAACGAACATGCGAAAAGATCCGTAAAACGATCGCGTAGTATTGACGCTGGCAATGGCTCGGACATCGAACGACGCACAAAGGATGAGAAGCATAAACACGCAAAGCGTAAGAAACGTCACAAACAGCGCTCTTCACACGATGAGAAGAGCAAGAAGAAGGACAGAACGGAACGCAAGTCGCACAAACACCGATCGTCCAAGCGTTCCAGACGAAGTCGAAGCAGAGATCGGAGTGCTAGGCGAAAGTGATACAAGAAGACGGATAAACAAACACGTACCAGCACTTATTGCTGCACCGATTGCAGTTGTAAACGTGCTTGCCTGCTGGTAACACACGCTCCGGAACGAAACGTGAGCTGGTGGCGAATGATGATGGATAGATTCGTGCAAATGTGAACAGCGTGGACATGTTCAAAGTCTATATAAATGGGATCGCTACGCTCCTAATGAAAAAAACCTAGTCAGTACACGATGGGCGTCTCCTATTGCGTCAGGCCGCTCGAAGCATCGCTGTCTTCCAAGCACGTATCCCCGACCAGTGTAAAGACTGCTTGCTACGCCACCGCCATTAAATTAGTCGAATGTCACCTTCGAGCCCTGGAAGTTCTGGATAGAAGACGGTTGACGCTTGGGTGGACCATCACCACGGCCTCCACGACCCCCACCGCGGCCTCCACCACGTCCACCAAAACCACGACCACCACCTCGACCTCCACCACGTCCACCAAAGCCACGACCACCACCACGACCACCATCAAAACCTCCTCGGCCACCACGACCGCCACCGCGACCACCTCCACGGCCACCAAAACTGCCACGGCCACCGCCACCACCACCGCCATTCTGGTCGCGTGATTTCGCATAGTTGACGCGAATGTTGCGTCCATTCACGTACGTGCCAGCAAGCTTGACCGCTTCGTCCACAGCCTCGGTCGTGGCAAAATCCACGTGTCCAAAGCCACGGAACTCTCCCGTCTCGCGGTCAGTTGCGAGACGACAGCTGAGGATCTCTCCGCATTCGCCAAACGTCTCGCGTATGATGTCCTCGTCCACATCCCAGCTGAGGTTGCCAATGAACACACTCGTGCATCCTTCTGGCTTCTCATCAAACATGTTCTTCTTCTCCGCCGTGCGGATCTTCAACCACCGACCACCAAAGTCCTGGCCGTCTAATGCAAGACCAGCCTCAGCAGCCTCGGGAGTTGCGAACGTCACGAACGCTGTACCCGTTGACCGGCCATTCTGCTGCGGGATGCGTGCACTAGTAACTTCACCACACCCGGCAAAGTATTCCGTCACTTCCTCCTCGGTGGCAGCCCACGGCAGACCAGCAATGAAGATCTCAAGAGCCTTTTGCGGGTTTGCCATAGCAGCTGCATCCCCATTCTCCTGCTTGTGCACCTTGTTCGACTTTTCACCAGCGTCCGACTTCTTACGCTTCTTCGACACAATGGTAGTCTCCTCCTCTTCGTCGGAAGACGAATCCGAGTCCGACGATGAAGAAGCAGACTCCTTCTTCTTGGCGGCAACAGCCTTCTTGGCAACAGACTTCACCTCCTCACTGTCATCCGAAGAGTCAGAGTCCGAGCTGGACGTGCTCTCCTCCTTCTTTGCAACAACAGCCTTAGCCTTAGCAGCTGGTTTCACGTCTTCCTCGTCCGAGGACGAATCAGAACTCGAGTCAGAGCTCTCTTTCTTCTTGGCAACCGCTTTCTTAGTAGGTGGGGCAACTACCTTCTTAGAAGTCTCCTTCTCATCGGACGAAGAGTCCGAACTCGAGTCGGAACTCTCCTCCTTCTTGGCAACAACCTTCTTTGACGCGGCAACAACCCTCTTTGGGGCCTCTTCTTCCGAAGAAGAGTCCGAGCTCGAGTCCGAGCTCTCCTTCTTGGCCACTGGGACCTTCTTCGGAGCTTCCTCTTCCTCCTCCTCGTCCGAGGAAGTGTCCGAGCTCTCTTCCTTCTTGGCAACAGGCTTCTTGGTCACCACCACCTTCTTCGGTGCCTCCTCTTCACTGGAACTCGAGTCAGAAGACGAGCTATCCACGGGCTTCTTCGGTGCCGCCTTGCTGCCCTTTTTGGCCACGGCGACAACCTTTTTCGGTGGCGCTTCGTCGCTGCTCGAGTCCGACGAGCTGCTGCTGCTGCTGGGCGCAGGCTTCACAGCCACACGCGCCTTCGATTTCTTGGCCATTGGATGATGGGTCGAGTCAAGACGCGAGAGAGCGAGCGAGAGAGCGAGAGCGAGACGAGATGTCGGGCGATGCTTTTGGGTAATGATGACCAGCGACGTGCTCGAGGCGACCGTTGGCTGCGGGTGCTTCAACTCGTTTGGTTGGCGCAGCTGGCCGTAGCGCTGGCGCGACCTTCGCGCGACCTCATCCTCCATCGTCGCCGCACGGACCGTGCACGAATGTGTGGCGCACCTGAACCCAAGGTTTTAGTTTCGCACCGAGGTTTTATGTGGCACTTGTGGACCCCACCACCCCTACCCAAGCAGTTGAAAACTTCGGGACCTCGGGCCAAGTCAAGTCAAGTCCAGCAATAGCAATTGCCGCCGCCGCCGCCGCAAGTCATGGCCGCAAGCAGCGGCGACGAACACCACGCGCCAGCCACCGACACAGCAGCGACTCCACTCCACGGAGCAGACGAAGACGTGGTCAAGCTCCATGGCGTCCCTGTCGTGCTGGTCGGCGGCAAGCGCAGTCTGCGGGAGGACGACGTCGCGTCCCTCGTGTCCACGGTCGAAGCCATTGCGCAGGACTCGCAGACGACGACGCAGGACGACGCGATGCATGACGTTGTGGCCAAGATTGAAGACACTGCAGGTATTGACGTGGCTTTTGACGCCGCGGCGACCGCTGCTGCAGTCGTGCCGCCTCCTGAGGCGATCAAGACGGACGTGGGGTGCATGCCAGGGCCGGTGCACGACGCTGTAGCAGCAGCTGCAGGGATTGGCTACGACCCCAGTGGCAATGGCGCTACTGTCAAGTTTGACAGCAAGCGCATGGCGCGCGTGTCGTTCAATTCCTGGTTCGACTTTGACTCGTACTTTGAGCTGTACATGCAGGAGACGTTCCAGCCGTTCCGCATGCGCTCGTCTTGCAGTGTCGAAGCTTACCGTCGGAACCAGCAAAAGGTGATGCTGAACAACAAGAGCTCGCGCGGACGACGCGCCGAGTTCCCCGATGAAGCGATCCATCACCACCGGATATACATGTGCACGCACGCGATGAAAGCGCGCTGTCGAGGCGCGAATACGCGTCCAGGACAGAAGTACCGTGGCATTGGCTGCATGGCTAAGATCAATGTCAAAATTACGCCGGCTGACAACCCGTCCAAGTATATGGTGATTGTCACGGACCAGGTACGGACAGAGAAGCGGGTGTTTCGTGCTGTCGTTGACAGGGTGGATCGAGTCTGTATTGACGCTTTTTGTGGTATTATGTGTTGTTTTGTTGGTGTAGGTGGTGTCGCACAACCACCCGGTGAGTCGGGAGATCTACGAGGCGTATCCAGACGTGTTACTAAAGATGATGCGGCGCAGTCAGCTGTCCCAGTCAGTGCTAGGCCATCCACCTCCGCCCAAGTTCGAGACGCCTCAACAGACGCAAAAGTACGAGCGGGCGATGAATACGTTCCAGTCTGTCGCCGAGACGATGGCTCGTTTGAGCGATGAGGACTACGAGGCGCAGCTTGGTCAGCTCCAGCGGCTCTATACCCCCACGACGGAGCAAGACGAAATGGTGTAAGTGAATCAGCAGCTGCTAGTAAAGAACGTGAATGAGGCGTCGAGGTGTTGTGAAAGCACGCACTGATGCCAAGCACGCACTGTTTCGTGTCACAATACAAACTGCATACGTTGTTCCGCTTGTGGTCTGCTGCGTCCATGTATCATCGATGTGTGAATAAATGTGCATACACACATTTGAGATCAAAAAAATTGGTCCTGCCCCAAATCACGTCCCAAGTGGCGCGACGTGTGGACCTAAAATAGGTCCGCAACAACCCAAAACCCCGTTTCGAACCAGTCGGGACCTCATGGCAAGCATCGACGTGGACGTGGCGCTCGCGCCCCATTCGTGCGTGCTCCTGGAGCCCGCCGACTCGCTGTGCTTCCGCTTACCGTCTCAGCTGGCGGCTCAGGAGGTGCTGACGATCCGGAACGTGTCGAGCGACCGTCAGATCGCGTTCAAAGTGAAGACGACGCGGCCGCTGCGCTACCTCGTGCGCCCGAATCAGGGCCTACTGGGCCCGAATGGCTCGGCTTCGATTGTGGTGATTTTGCAGAAGAAAGAGTGTGAAGAGCTGCGTCGGATGGACCCGGCCGAGCGCCAGCTGTCCAACGACAAGTTCCTCGTCCAGAGCATCTACGTGGACGAGCGGTTCTATGAACAAGTGAAGACCAAGTCAACGAAGGAGATGGCGGACGAGCTCACGCACATGTGGGCGAGGACGGACAAGCGCGCGCTGTCGAACAAGAAGCTGCGCTGTCGCTTCGTGCAGGAGGACGAGGACGCAGAGCAATTGGCAGTGGCTCCGTCGAGTCCACAGCGCACGACGTCGACGAACGCGTCGTCGGCAACGACAGCAGTCGCTTCTGATTCGAGCAGTGCTGTGTCGGGTAAACGACCGAGTGATGAGGGACGAGCGGAAGTGGCTACAGCTGCTCAATTGTCGTCTGCATTGCTGCAAGAGGACAGTGCACAGACGATGAAAGAGACGGTGGATAGAGGAGGAGAAGAAGGAAAGGAAGCGATTCAGGAAGCTGCAGTGCTACGCAAGAAATACGACGAGGTGCGTGGGTACTACGATGGTTGCTGGGGTTGTAAGAGGAGAGGGGGTGATTGATGTTTCATTTGGTGCTGGTATTTTGTTTTTTTTGTGTGCAGTTGGTGGCGTTTACAGTGCAGCTCACGGCAAAGCGTGACGTGTTGATGAGCGATCTGGAAAAGACGCGACAGCTGCTACAGAAAGCGAGCACGGATGCTATGCGCGTGAGGAAGCTGTCGGAAGAATCGTCGACTCTGCGTCATCGGAAAAACGGTGCGGTTAATGGTAAAGGTGGCAACGAAGTCTCGCATGCGATGACGGGCAAGGGCTCGAAGGACCAGGGGGTATGCACTTTTTCTGCTGGCGAGCTGGTCAAATGTTTATTGACACTGCTGACGATGTTTGGATTTGCTGCGTCTTTGACAGACTTATGGACCCTTGCACTTGGTAGTGTGCGCGATCATTTTCTTTTTAGTTGGGCGCTACTGCTAGTGCAGCTGCGATTTCGAACGCAGAATCTACAGTGTGCGGAAGGCTAAGAACGCTGCAGCTTGAACGTGCGATACAAGAGCACAAAGGCTCAATGTCAATGGCGCGCTAGAGTTTTCTGGTCGTCGATGGCGTCTCGTGCTGACGTGTTGTATGTATACAGGCTTGCTGTGGAACAACTACTTTGCTGGTGAGGACTAGTAGTAGACTGGATGAACACAAACGACCAGGGAGAAGTGAATTGAAGGGACGCAAACTGTTACTACAGTTCTTCGGTCTACAACATAGGAAGTGATTCATGCGGAAGCGCATACCGGAGGTTTTTGTGGGTGTATATTTACGTGTCCAACGTCTTTTAGGCTTGAGCAAATTGACATGCTCTTTGTCTTGCTGACTTCCGCGTAATGACGAAGACTAGTTGAGAATTGCCGTGACGCTCATCTTGCGTTTGCCTTCCATAACTAGCGGTGCGCAAGCCTTGCGCTTGGTACTTCGCGTACGGTGACTTGTGGTGGAACTGTCGCCGCTGTCGCTGCTGACTCCAGATCCTTGCAAGCTTGCGCTCTCTTTCATGGAAAGCATTGCAATCACAGCAGCATCGCTGTCGGAATGGTTCTCCGCTGGAGCAACTCGCGACGGCAACGGAAGCACGATACTCTTTTGTTCCGGTTGAAAATGGTCATCAAAGCGCACGGAAGATGCTTCTGCATCGTCGTCAGGGAAACCTGAATCGTCCGGGTTATCCTCATATTCGCCATCGCCGTCGTACGCGCACTCGATCTTTTTCAGCTCTCGCACATCATCTCGAAGCGCGTTCACTCGCACTAACGTAACCACGTCTTCGAACCGTGGGGAAGTATCATCGACTGCGGCTGTATCTGTGCGTCTGCCACGACCTCCACCACTAGCGCCTGGTGGTGTGTGGCAAGGAGAGTGGTTCGACGAGCCATTGTTGCTCGAGAAAGCAGCATCCTTTTCTGCACCACCATCATACGCGGATCCTGCGCCACCAGGTGCCTCACCTGGTGATGACGAGGACGAGTTGCCATCACCGTCGCGTCGAGAAGACGACTTCTGTGCATCATGCTGCTCGATGCTCGATCCTGTTGCCTGCACAAAAATATGCTCCAAACGGTCGATCATTTGCAACAGCGGCTCGTACGTGGCGAACGGTTGCTTCATCAGAATCATGTGCATGAACTTATTGCGTGTGGCATATCCCGTCCACTTGTCATGCTTTTTTAAAATCTGCGTGGCATATTGAACACGACAGACGGTCAGGGTGCTTCAGTAACGAGTTGCGGATAGGTATGCAATCGACGACTCGGCGGGATCAAACACAACCTTCGAGATGCCGCAAAAGTTCATCACGGCAAAGTTCTCAAGCAGCAGCAGCTCCTTGTAGAGCGCCACGCAGTTCTTCATAAGTGCTGTCTTGGCTTCCGCTGACTCGAGGTTTGTCTAACGTCACGACATCAGAACGACAGACCAAAGTGAGTACGCAAGACAACAGCGCCTCCACGACAACTCCAGTGATGCAACAAGTACATCCACGCAGCACCGTGCCATACCTTGAGCTGTTGGAAGCTAGTGTCAATAGCCGCCACCTGACTCGTGTGCTTCGCTTGCTCTTGGATAAAAAAGTCGGCGATCTTCTTGATTTCCACGCGCAAGGTGCGAAAGAAATTCATCTCGTCCTGCGACTGACCTGGTCCAGTAGCACCCATCCAAGCACGAACAACAACTCACATGAACATCCGCCCCTCGAGCCAATCCACTCAACTCAAGTCCACCAAAAAAAACACGCTTGCTCACGCAAGTCGCGAGCCACGCACGGATGCTGTCGTTGTCCTCTTTCGCCGATGGTTTGATCTTGATCTTGACCAGTTTGTCCCCCTGGAGCTTCTCCTCCTTCTTGATCTGGGCGCAGTCCTTGATGATCTTCTTGAGCAGCTTGTAGTCCGCCCAGTAGGGCCCCCACGCACTCGGCGACATCTGCGTCGACTGCTGCAGCACTTTGCCAAACTTCATGGGAACCTCCTCTCGTCCACACACACACAACCTGCACACAAAGGAACGCCGACAGACACCCAGCACACCCAGCCAGTCAGTCAGTCAGTCGTCAATACGTTGTACCAGTACCAAGCCACGCGATCGTTTGTCGTCTGCAGCGCTCGACGACAGCCGCCCCGTCTTCCCCCTGCGCCTCCTGCACGACATGGACACAGCACCATGCAGACGACTACCCCGTTCGTGGTTCTCTTTACCTGGAGGAGCACAGCGCTTGGAGCGAAAGCGGCCGAGGGCGCGATTGATTGGCTGGTCGTGGGTTATGGCCACGGTCGAAAAGCTGTGGCGAGACCTAATCCACGGTCGAACCAGCTGCGAAATAGCCGCTTTCCCTAGCAGCTGGTGGTGGGGACGCAAAGGTCGATAGTAAAATAAGAGGAGGAGGTGAGAGGTGGACGGACTTCTATTGGAGAAGAAGAAGAAGAAAAGAAGAAGAAGAAGGGCGACGAGTGATCGCAAGACGGACGAGGCCTGTCGGATCCGGTACGGGAGTGGTCGGTAGAAAGATAATGTTGAGATTGTAGTATACCGGCAATACAAACGAACACTGGAGTGAGAGACCATTGAGCCAACGTGCTGCTGCTAGTGGATGGCGAAAAGCGCATCTTTTTCTGTTTTTGACCTTGTCACACGTGACGGACCGCGATTGCTCGCTCAAACAGTAATAGTGTCACGTGCGACGAACTGACCATCTGGTGCTTACGTACATGGGTTCGCACCCCAAGTGGAGGGACACGCGTCTGCGTGGAGGCTTTATGGCACGGGTCCAGCAAAAGATGTGGCTTTTCACGCACAAACTCAAGCTTTTTGGACGACTTGGCTGTCTGCTGTGCTCCTCCTGGTTGTCGGTGGCTCATCATGGTAAAATGGAGCAACGCACCGGCTCAAGATATGCTGCGCTGACCATTCTGCACGGACCTTTGCTCGATCACCAGAGGAACTTCTACGATGTGGTAGATGACTCGCCGCGTTGGACAATGTCACTGGACGGTCCTGTTCTGCGTGAAACGTTCCAGTCTCATCCACTCAGCTCGATAATTCGTTGTCATCTTGCCATCGGGTGCCGGTCCTTCCTGGTGTTGCGTCGCCTTTAATTGACGCAAACGCATGATAGGTGTTGTGTTGATCGCACAACTGGAGCAGACAAAAACTGCCGATATACTGCCGGCGTCCTCACTTGGATGACAACGTTTGCTTCACATCCACGCGAAGACAATGTGCTGCATCGACTTTGTGGCCGTAGGCTGGTTGCTGCTCAAATTCACACGTACAAGGGACAACAACGAGAGACCATGTCAACACCACCGTCCAGCAACGCCCGATTGCTCTCGCCAAGAAGCTCCATTGCACAACAACAACAATACTTCGTGGTGCTCTTGTGCGCTAGATCCATGTCGTTGCTAAAGACCTCCGTACCAGATCCGTGACCACCTGCTAGTCTACCCTTTGGCACCGTATGGGTATTTGACAAGCTGCGTTGAGGGCAACCTCAACACTACCTGGATGCTGATCCAGAAACACACACTGCTTTTGGTCCTCGCTGCACGCATGGTAGTTCAGCACGGTGACAAATGGACGCATCGCGCACACCACAAAGTTAAGATCGCGTACCAATTTCGACATTCGCACCGACTTGCTACTTCCATTTCGTTGTTCAGACACCAGCACCTTCTTCTTCGTCTTTCTCCTCTCCACACAGCTCATCCATGTCTTCCTCTCCACTCGATCCAATCGTGAACTTCGGCGACCAAGCAATCGAATCTGATTGAGATCGAGGAGACAGTGGCCTTCCTGGCAAAGACGATAAAGGCATACTGTCGATGTCTGCAATGTCGAAGTGCGCACGCTTCGGAATGCGAGACCATGAACGCATGCGCCACCTCGTCCAAACCATGACACCTAGTCCCACGCCCACCAGCGAAATGGCGATAACTCCCGCGATAAAAATAGTAGCCTTGGGACTTGCTTGTCCAGTCGTTGCGTCAGCGAATGAACTGGTGACTATGCCGGCATTACTGAGAGTGTCAGTCAGCGCTGTTGCAGTTGTGTCGATGTCACCAACAGACACGTCGGCATTGTCAACAGTATTGGACAGCGCCGCTACGGTTGTGTTCGTATCTGAGCTATTGTTGGAGCTATCGGAGGCATTCGCTGGATGGGCAGGAGCAATCGATGATGCAGCTATGGATATTGGTCGATCAGTACTGTTCACAATGTGTGCATCTGTATCGCTTCTTCCTGAGCATGGTCAACGTATCACAGAAATGTCAGCAATGCCCCTCGAGTAGCACCATACGCTACAGTAGCGTACCACAACTTGACTCTGCAAAGCCAATGCGGTTGTTTTCTCCATCAAAGATCACGTCCAAGCCAACCATGACACTCGAACCCAAGACTAAAAACAACAGAAACTTGTTCAGAGCTAGCGAATGCAAGCACGAGAGATGCGGTCAGACAAAAGCTTACCTCCACCACTGCGCTCCGAGAAATGAAAGTTGCCAGTGTACGACTTGCCGTCTTCGGAGAGAGTAAGATACTTTGACGCAGGAACATCGAGCTGGACATCATCAGTGCCATCTCCTTTCATCCCAGATAGCACAACAGATATAATAGGAAGGGCTGCCAAGTCTTCGTTCGAAACTTGCATGCGCTCGTCACTATACTCTCGACCTCCTGCTGCATTCTGGAACGCTTTCATAAAGTTGCGATTCCCTCTTCCGTCAAAAAAAGTGTCGGTTGTTCCGCTATCAACTAGCACGCCTCTGCCCGAGTTGATCGTGTCAACGTCAATACCCAACGACACTCCGTTCATGAGAATATCCTTTACATGCACTGGGTAGTAGGTAGACTTGGCGTCAAGTAGCGGTGTGTAATCCACAGTACTTGTGTGGTGGCTGTAATCCACTCCACCGAACACGAGCTCCCCTCCGTCACTACCGAAGCAAAGAGTAAAGACGTTATGTGTCACGCGACCTGCCTTCAGCATATACGACAGGACGGTCTGATCGTGACGCCCAAGGCCCATGATGCCATTTTCCTTTTGCGTGATAAAGAGACCAGTCTCTTTGGTCTGACACCCAAGTGGAAATCGGAACCCAAACGTCTTGAGGAATCCTTCCATTTCGTCACCTATGGATGATGACGGCCCTCCCACCCATACCAACTCTTCGACCATAACTGCTTGCCACATGCTGCCTTCAAAGTACGTCTGTTCATTCGCAGCCACCACGTTAAGCACAACGTAAGAGGGTACTGAGCACATGGCAAGACTTTGTGTCACAGCTTCACAATGCATACCTGCGAGACATAGCAGCGATCATGATCACAGGAAGAGCAAGAATTGACATCGTGGCACGATAAATACTTTGCGGTTGTCGACTGCGATACATTAAAGAGCACATCCGTGTGCTGTCCACAGCCATCGCACTCGCTGCACGGCAACGCCGTGGTATGGCTTCCAGTATCAACAATCAACGACGCGCGTTGCGTTGGAATACCCAAGTAAACTTCAGCATAGTGGGTGCTACACCAACGAACAAAAAACCATCACCAGTCAACACTGTCAGCTCTTTCTTCAATCAAATGATCCCGTGACATGAACCGCAAAAAGAGGAGAGAAAAAAACTATACAAACCCACCCGTAGCCCACACCCAGCGACGACTCACTGAGAGCCAGTGCACCCAGTCCAAAATCTCCATCTACTGTGCCGTTTCCTGCTTCCAGTGCCCGTCGACGAGCTCGAGTTTGTTGGTGTACCAGTCGATGGGATCGATCAGTGCTTGGCTGTTGCTGCTGCTTGTGGAGCTGGACTTTCAGGAGATCGTGCTCACGGGCAGCTGCCTCAAGAGCCAGTAGAGAGCCTATTGCTAGTGCAAGCACAAGGAGAGGTGCTCGCCACTGAGCGCGTCGAAAGGGCATCAGCGAGAGCGTCATCCAACGAGAGAGAGAGAGAGACTCACAATGTCGTGTCATTTGTCATGTTTGTCCAACATGGCTACATTGTCAACGTCAGCAAACTGGTGTGGGATGTTTCTTATTCTGAAAATCTTTATTCTGGGTTCTAGTCATAACGGACATGCAAATGTCGGATCTACTCACAGCCGCTCTAGCGTGGAATTGTCGACTTTGGATTCCTCCTCCGGTATCGAGTCGAGGACAAAGACATCGTCATCTTCTTCGTTGCTACTTCTCTCGTGATCGTGATCCTTATCATCATCGTCGTGGTCATTATCGTACTGACCCAGCCGCTGGTGCTTCGTCGTAGGCGTCCCCTGGAGGGTAATCGTGTCGCCGCGAGTGAGACCAAACTCTTCCTCGTCATTCACGTCGTCGTCCTCTTCATCGTTTTTGACACGACTCCAGAGCTGGTCGTCGCGGGTCTTTTGTCGCCGTCGTTTGATTGATATCAAAACCATCAACAAGAAACCCACCACCAAAACAGCGCCTGCAAGTGTGAGCACCATCGGATGAGTACCAAACGACTTCTCTTTCGACTTCGACTTGGTCATGGCAGACTCGACCATTTCGCCCACCAATGCCTCGATCTCCGAGTCAGCAGTGCCACTTGAACCAGTGTGTAGGGATGACATGTTCGTTTCCATCGTCGCCTGTGAAAGTTCTGCACTCGTCACAGTTGGCTCTGATGTAACAGGTTCCGGAGTTGCCTCGATAGTCGGCTCAGTCGTGGTAGCCGGATCAGCGGTTATCGATGTAGATGTTGCAGTAGCCATCGGCGCAGGAGTGCCTGCAACTGCGGATGTTGCATTGATCATCGATGCAGGAGTGCCGGCAGCTACGGCTGTTGTATTGGTCATCGGTGCAGGAGTGCCAGCAACTTGAGTTGTTGCATTGGCCGTCGGTGCAGGAGTGCCTGTGGCTACCGATGTATCACCAGGCGCGACAGTGATTGTAGTTGAACCTTTCTTCTTCTCCTTCCCTTCACTGATACTAGTAGTTTTGTTGTTCGTCGATGACACGGTTGTCGAATTGGAAGCCTCCTGCCACGCGCAGTTGGCATCCACAAAGCCTACGCGCCCGTTGCTTGTGTCAAAAATCACATCACGATTCGTCATGAGGTTGGCTCCAATGACACCGCCGGAGTTCTCTGTCAGATGGATGCCACCACAGTATTTGCCGTTCTCATACAGTAGATACTGCTCAGGTGGAATTGACAGAATCACTTCCTCATTTTCGTCTCCTTCAGCTTCCATCACGAGCTGGATCGTTGGAAGCAACGCCAACTCTTCATTGGTATAGCCTTTGCATGATGCATTCACCTGGTAATCGCGACCAGCGACTTCTTTGAACTTCTTCGAAAACTCTGCATCCATCGATTTTGGGAGATACGAGTCTGTCGTCCCGCTGTCCACAATGAAGTGCCCCTGTGTGTACGACTCCGCTTTGGCGTTAATGGATTTGCCACCGATACGTACATCCTTCATGGGCAAATTGTACAAATGGCTGTCAAAGAATCGAATAATGACATCACACCATCAGTGACATACAAAGAGATGGCACACGCACACACTTTCTTACTTGGTCGAGCTATCCGGGATCATTTTCACGTATCCAATCTCGCCCCGATGTGCCGCTGTGTGCGGCTGGCCAACGGACATGGTGCCGCCATCCTCAATGAAACAAAGTGAAAAGAGGTTGCTTGGAATTTTGTTTTCACGGTGCAGCTTTGCGACGATATGACTGTCCGTTCTCGATAGCCCCATGATTCCGTCCGCCACTTGGGTGACAAACAGTCCCGTCTCAACGTTCTGACAGCCAAATTGGTAGACCGTGCCGTATTTGTTGCGCATCACTTCGTCGTCAAAGCTCGAATCTCCACCCAAGTACACGACATCCTCGACCACTGAGGCCTTCCAGCTGCTGCCCTCCAAGTACGACTGCGAAATGGCGCACGTGTCCGACGGTAAGTTGCATCCCTTGCACTGATAGAACGACTGCTGAGAACACTTGACATGCGCTAACGTCGACGAGTTGTTTGCATCAAATGGCAAGTCAGTGTGGTTCCCACACCCGTCACAGCCAGAGCACGGAAATGCCATCAGTGCACTACCAGTGTCCACAATCACAGACGCTCGCTGCGGCGGCGTGCCGGCATAGACCCACGTGTAGTGTGTTCTACACCACATCCACACCCGTCGTTAGGAATAACCTCACAATAATGACATCAGCCCTACTAATGAAATCCAAGGACACAAAATCAGTATGTACCCATATCCCAAGTGCAGCGGCACGAGCTCCGCGACGTCATCGTCAACAAGCAATCGCCTCGCGTATCGCTCAGGTTGTCGATTGCGTCGGGGCGTGCGGTGAAGCTGCATGGTAAAGCCAGGTGCTGGCTCGGCTTCTGTTGCCAGTAACAATAGGAGCGGTCCAACGACCGCGAGAAGCGCCTGGGAGCCGGCAAACACACGCAACATGCTGACGTTCTCGCGGAATCGTACTTTGGCGAACAAGCGGCTGCGATGCGGGAGGACGCGAGCTGTTACGTGATGGAAGCGCGTTGGAGGCACGTGGCGATAATTGGGTGTTAATACGCTTTTCTTCCAATGAGCGCCGGCGGTTCACGAAATCACATCCTCGGACGGATTTCGCAGGACGATAAATAGGGTCGGATCTAATTTAGGATACAGTCCGCGTCAGAGAATTGTGGTCAATCAGGTCAGCAGCTGTAAAAATAGTACTGGAGAGAAAAAGTAGTGATACTTTTTCTCTTCACTACTATTTTTTGATAGCTTTACTTTGACTTGATCGATCAATCAGTCACGACGTTTTGCTTGGTATTGCTCTGTCTGGGCATGGAAGGAGAGGACGGCTTTGCTCGTGTTTCTTGTCCAGATTGTGCAAAGCTACCAAGACGTGAAAGGCGCACGACAGGAGAGCAGAATGTCATCGATGCTTCGAGGCTTCACGATACCGCGCAGCAGCTACTCGAGTACATTTGAGGTTTGCATCACTGGCTTTCACAGTGCCGAACAAGTCGAGCGCCACCTTTTCCGTGGACCTTGCCTCGTCAGTACGGCTGCTGGCTTTATGCTTGCTCTGTCACTAGCAGTAGGAGTTTATGACCGTCGGAGCTTCTATCCACTCAGGTGATCCGGTGCGATTGTCGTTCAGACTTCTGGCATTCTTGAGATAGAACGCGCCTGTGTGTGGTGGTTCAATGCTGTTGCGCAATGGTGTACGTGATACTTGAATACCAGCTTGGTAGCAAACGAACTGCTTGGTCAAAGCGAGTGGAGGTCTCTGCTTTGCTGTTCCGAAACGCAGTGATAGCGGACGGTCGTTCACATAGGGTACGAGACAATATGACGCGGGCGCTCCGACTGCAGCATCCTAGATACGGATGTGTTTCACGATGCAGGTAGCTGTGCACGTCGACTACCTCGACGCCACGGCTGTTCAGGTCTTGGCGATGCACGTCTATGTGCGAGCAAGCCTGCAGTGTGACCTGCATGTATTGCTGCACTAGGAAAGCCTCCTGCCTACCTTAAGCGCGAAGCCATTGTACACGCGATCTACCACGTGCCACTTAAAGGAGCATTATCATTCTACCCACTTGCAGTGGACGGATGCTCGAGTGCACTGACCCAGCTTCTCTTGGTCTGGTCATTGATAGAACAGTTGCAAGCAGGGCAGGCAGGTCATAGAGGCAACTATTGTCGTCTCGTCAGCTGCATTGTGCTTTGTGCGGCAAAGAAGTCGAATGCAGCGGTTCTATCTCGCACGGTGCTAAAGCGTCTCAACACGAGACTCGACAAGTACCGACGTTTTGATCGCACGTATCGCGATTGCTAGGCCTGGATACAGAAAGAGCCAATTGTGCACGGTGCAGTTTGCACTGGCATACGCAGCCCGCCAAAGAACTTGCCGTCGTCATTCTCGACATGGTAGTGAGCCACAGAACGCTTGCGCAAAACAAAAGACACACTTCAACCTCATCGATCTCATCGATCAGAACGCCATTGCAAGCAAAGCCGGTGGACTACTTGACGCTTGAGGGAGCAAGCGCCAGATAGAAGTGGATCAGCAATCAAAGCCTTCGATCCATTGTTGGTTCATCGACCAGCTCCTGGTTTCCATTAGTCCCGGTATTTCCAGACGTCCAACCAATTTCCTGGCTGTCTCACTTGAGCGGGTTTCATTCCGACCCGCTTTGCATACAATACGCAAGATAAAACAAGCTCAACCAAACGGGTTGGTCGATTTGCCGCTCGTAGCTCTTCACCACTCGGTCATTTCAGCATTGGCAAACGTGAACGTCTTGGCTGACTCGGTTTGGTCCCGTCCATCTGTCTATCTGTCTCGTCCATCCTTGCACCATGAAGTACTTGGCAGTAACGGGTGGCACAGTAAGTGGTCTGGGAAAGGGCATCACCATCAGCAGCATTGGCGTCGTGCTCAAGTCGCTCGGGCTGCGTGTCACGTCCATCAAGATCGATCCGTACCTCAATTGTGATGCTGGGACCATGTCCCCTTTCGAGCACGGTGAGGTCTTTGTGCTCAATGACGGGGGTGAAGGCGACTTGGACCTGGGCAATTACGAGCGGTTCTTGGGCATCACACTCACGCGGGACCACAATATTACGACGGGTAAAGTCTACACGCACGTGCTGGAGAAGGAACGTCGAGGTGATTACTTGGGCAAGACAGTGCAGGTGGTCCCTCACGTGACAGATGCTATCCAAGACTGGATCGAGCGTGTGGCTCAGATTGGCGTGGATGGCTTGGGCGCTGGTGGGACAAGTGCTTTGGACGACCAAGCTGCGGACGTCTGTCTGATTGAAGTGGGTGGCACTGTGGGCGACATTGAGAGCATGGTGTTTCTCGAAGCTTTGCGGCAGTTCCAGTTCCGTGTTGGACCGGAGAATTTCTGTCTTGTGCACGTGTCCCTTGTACCGGTGCTTGGTTCAGTTGGTGAGCAAAAGACCAAGCCCACGCAGCACGCGATTAAGGAGCTGCGAAGCGCTGGTCTGTCGCCTGATGTGATTATCTGTCGTAGCAGCACCGAGCTGGAGCATGCCACCAAGACCAAAATCGGCATGTTCTGCCAAGTGCCGGCTAATCATGTGCTGTCCGTGCACGATGTGAGCAACATTTATCACGTGCCGCTATTGCTGTCGAAGCAAGGCGCAGCTAGTATTCTGATGTCCAAGCTGCAGCTCATGGACCGCTTCTGTGAACCAGATCTGGCTGCCTGGTCTGCCATGGCCCATCGCGTAGACTCTTTCGAGCAAGTGTGCAAGATCGCTCTTGTTGGCAAGTACACTGGTCTGCAGGACTCGTACTTGAGCGTCATCAAGGCGCTGAAGCACGCCACAATGAAGTGCAACTACGATCTGGAGATCGAGTGGATCGAAGCCAGTGATTTGGAAGTGGACATGCGGGAGAGCAACCCGAAAGCGTACGAAGAAGCTTGGACCAAGCTGCGCAGCGTCGACGGTATCGTGGTGCCGGGCGGTTTTGGTGACCGTGGTGTAGACGGCAAAGTGCTTACGGCAAAGTACGCACGTGAAAATCGCGTCCCGTACCTGGGTGTGTGTCTGGGCATGCAGGTTGTGGTGATTGAGTATGCGCGCAACGTCATAGGTTGGAAGGACGCGAACAGCGAGGAGTTTGATGCTGATGCTGGACACAAGGTGGTAGTTTTCATGCCTGAGATCAACCCGGAGGTCATGGGGGGTACCATGCGCTGTGGTGAGCGTCGAACGATCGTGCACGAAAAGGAAGACCCGGCGAAGCGCTCGCTGGTGTCGTATCTATACAGCAAGGATCAGCCAATTCTCGAGCGGCACCGTCACCGGTACGAGGTGAACCCGGAGCTTGTGCCAGCCATCCGTGAGGCTGGTCTCAACTTTGTTGGCACGGATGAGAAGAGTGAGCGGATGCAGGTGGTCGAGCTCGACCGGGACGTGCATCCGTTTTACTTTGCTACGCAGTATCATCCAGAGTTCAAGTCGCACCCGAACGACCCATCGCCGCCGTTTTATGGCTTGATCCTGGCTGCCACTGGCCGGCTTGACCTGTTTATCAAGGACGTAGAAGCCAAGGAGCAGCAGTCGTGATCAAGTGCAGTCGGTCGATTGAGTGTTGGTGGGAGCTATAGGTGATGAGAATTTTGTAATGCTAAGCTGGTGAGCCAAGTGCGATTATGGAGACTTTGTGACCAGCTACTAGCGTTCAGAACAGTCGGGTAAACAAACGAACCCTTCGATGTGCGGATGGATCTACAGTTACTTTCGACACAACGGTGACCGTAGCAGTCTCCTATTTCGCTCTATCGCGTTCTACTTTAATAGCGTTTAAATAGTGCCGTAAACGCTAAGGTCGCGTGACTTTCACCGTATTTCTTCTGATACCGTCCTTGAGCGTCTTTAACGTTTTTCAGCGAATCAAATCACTGCGAGTGGCAAACACAGACGATGCCAGAAGAGCTGCTCGAGGCGCTGGACGGCTTCTTCCTGGCGGCAGAGTACGGTCGGTCCGACGTCATTAAGGCTCTGGCTGATCACAGTCGTGGTCGTCTGTCGCTCGCGGATGTGGTAGACCCCGTGACGGGTCGCTCCCCTCTACACGTGGCGGTAGCAAGCGGTAAGAAGGACGCGCTTCGAGTTCTCTTGGCTGCTGGCTTCCCCCCAACGCATCAGAGCAAGAGCGATATGGGTACAGAAGCAGAAAATCGGTCTGCTTATGCGTTGGCTCAAAAACTGAAGGCTCAGGATTTACTGGTGGTGTTCCATCAGTTTCTGATTCAACAAGCTGCAGCCAATGACGTGCCGAGTGTGAACCAGTTGCTGGCTTCCGGAGTGGACGTGGGTGTCCGAGACGAAGCTACTGGAGGATCGTTGCTGCACTGGGCGGCGTCCTGTCAAGCTGTGGACGTGATGAAGGAGCTGCTAAAGAGAGAAGATGTACAGAGACTCAAGCTGGTGAACGCACGCAATGGAGAAGGTGCCACGCCGCTGCACTTGGCGTGTCAGGCAAACCAAGTGGAGTGTGTAGAGATGTTGCTGAGGGATCGTGCAGACGTGAGTTTAACAGGTGACAAGGGGTTTAGTAAGGATAAAACAGCACCGGAGCTGGCTACTAAGCCAGCGGTGCTGGAGTTGTTTTCTCGAAAGTGTGAGATGATTGACGCTGACAACAAGCCGGAGGAAATTCAGGTGGACGGTGCAAATAGAGGAAACGAAGGGGAGCGTGTAGCGACGCTGATGGCAACACAAGATGGACAAGGTGCATCAGGGGCTGATGTGCACGAAGTCCGGAATGAGTCTTTGCTGTTGCAGCTTGAAGAGAAGGATTTGCTGGTAAAACAGCTAAAAACGACTATTGAAGCGCTTGTGCAGGAACGGCAAGAAACACGGATGCTTGGAGAAGAGCGTGTTATGCTAGATTATGTCCGTAAGCTGCGCGAGGAAAAGTCGATCATTCAGAGGCAGCTGGAGGATGCCAACGATTACATAAAAGGCCAACAACTACAACTGGCAAGTTTGAAAAAGCAGATCCAATTGACAATGTCAGCGGCCGGCAAAGAGGTACGCAGCGCTGTTTCTTGATGTCAACATACGGAGGGTGTGTTCTTATAGTGCTCTCCTTTTTGTACTAGCTTGAGACTGACCGCGACATTTTCTCCCAAACTAGTGATGCCGCCACAACCGGTTCCGCAATCAGTCCTCCGGATAGCAGCCACAGCAGTACGAACCTTGTGAATTCGTATCAAGCTGAAACACAACCGAATAAAGGTAGCAGACCAGAGGGACCCCATGTGCAACCGCTGAAGCTGGATGCCTGGACGTCCAAGGCGCAGCGCGAGCAGGAAACCTTGAATCGACACATTGACAAGCACGGCCCTGGTATTTGGAGTACTGTATGGAACGGTCTCTGGGTTGGACCTGGCGAGTTGTCGCAGGACACAGAGGACGAGGTTGTTATAACGGTGTGAAACTAATGACAATCATTTGCGCTGCTTCACTATTGCAAAGCAGCAGAGCAACGGATTGTCGTAGAAGCGGACGCGGTAGTGGCTTCCTGTCGGCGTTTGTGAACGCGGTTGACGATTCTTCGGCTGCATGTATGCAAAGCAGTTGTCACGCACGCCCGCAACGAGATCAAACCTGATCCTGTCTACTTATCACATAAGCAGTGACCGTGAGTTCCCAGCTGTAGTTCGAATGTGTGATAGCTTGAAGAGATTACCAGAAGATACCTCATTGCACCCGTCGTATGCAAGTGATTAACAAGTCTGCATTCCGTCACGTCTATGCAAGCAGGTTGGTCCAGTCTCGTTACTTGGTGCTGACGGTCGGACACCGTTTTAAAGAACCTTGATAGTTTTAGAAAGCGCAAATTAGTGCGAGATGCTCGCAACTGTGGAGGTTTGACACAGAAAGAGTAATTTGGTACGCAAAGTCAACCATTTGCAAACAAACTGTACGATTTGGCTCAAAAGTGCTGACTTCGAGTCCCTTCACTGCCACAATGAGGATCACGAAAAGGCGTGGTGCCCTTCGATCTACTTCATGACAAGACGGGTCACTGGAGCTATACTTTCGATGGCGCGATAGAGTAGCGTCATGCTTTAGAAACAGCACTTTCACGAATGCTTCCGGATAGCGACTGCTCGCGAGTGCGAGATCGACAAAGTCTGCTTTCAACGATTTGCATCGCCACGGTCGTGGTGAAGTCATAACCCGGAACAAGTCAAGGAACTCAAAATCAGTAGAACGTATTGTTCTTCATGTCAACATCCTTCAATGTCTCTTGAGTGTCTCTAGTCTTCTGTACCAATAACCTTGTACTACATTTCACGACGGCCATCAAAAGACGGCTCCTTATCCTGTGTCATCCCAAATAATCCTGTACACCAATTGCATGCCCACAAAATCTGACCCATCGCGCAAACCAGGTACAAAACAAGTGTCCGTTGCAACATATCACAGTCGGTTTCTACCGGTTTCTTCGCGACTCGGGACCAGTATACCGTTCCAAGCCAGCTAACTCGTTATGTATCCATCGATCACTCAGCAGTCAAAGATGATCGCTGCAGCAGCTCAGCGACTTCGATCGAGTTCCATGCACACCCTGAAGACCTACGACAAGAGCGAGCACCGCCTCCTCGTCGTCGGTGGCAGCGGCTTTGTGGGTAGCAACGTCCTGCAACGCGCCGTGCAAAAGGGGATCGAGGTGCGCAGTCTCAACCGCTCAGGCAAACCGCAGTGGCAGGACGTGCCGTGGATTGACCAAGTGGATTGGCGCTCGGGGAGCGTCTTCAATGAGGAGGATCTGGCAGAGGCTGTCGACGGTGTCACTGGTGTTAGTACGTGTCCAATAGATACTGGAGGTTGCTTGAAGCAGTGTGCACTTGCACTGACAAGTACGTTGACGCCTCATCAATTTGTGTCTGTTCGTGTCCCGATGTCTCTGCTGCTAGTCTCGACGGTAGGTGCCTTTGGGAGCCAGGAGTTTATGGAGAAAATGTGCGGAGACGCGACGATTCAAGTGGCTCGGGCGGCGCAGAAGTCAGGTGTGGAACGATTCGTGTTCGTGTCCAACTCTCGCGTTGGCTCGTGCTACCCGTCGTGGCTACCGCTGTATGGCTATTACCATGGAAAAGAGCGAGCAGAAGCTGTTGTGCAAGCCAGGTGAGGAGATTTGAGGTGTGGAAGCTTTTTTTTGTTGAGGTGGATCTTTTTCTGATGTCCGGCGGTTGGTGGGTGTTGTAGCTTCCCAAGTACAGGGGTGGTACTGCGTCCAGGCTTTATCTATGGCTGGCGTCGGACGGCGAAAGGACAAGGCATCCCACTTCAACTTGTTGGTGCGCCTGTATCGATGCTTGCACGCAACCTTGGTGCCGTGTCAACTGCATTGGGCTATGTGCCATTCATTGGGGAGGAGATGCAGGCTGCTATTCCTGTTGATGCAGTTGCGAAGGCGGCAGTGCTCAGTGCTATCGGTCCTGTCCAAGGACAAACGCTGGACACAACCAAGATGCTTGAGGTGGCTGCTTCTTTCCACGTCCATGAGTGAGATACTGGCAAAGGACATCACGGTGGCGGAAATGTACCAGAACCTCTGCGGGTAGAAGAGAGTCGCGCCGCATTGTAAACCACGAAAGTACGAGCAGCTGTTGTCAGAAGCCTTCGCTAATGTTGCCACCTTCATGCTGCCTCGGGCTTGTAAGTCAAACCGATAACAGCTTCTCTGTGCTCCTCTGTTCTGTCGTTCCATTCTCGCAGATAAAGTAGGCCAAATTAACGTACACTCGTAACCACATCTGTCACTTCTTACGCAGCTTTGAACATACCAGATACTCCATAGCGCTGGCTAAGAGATCATGTAACCACCCAACATCATCGTGTTCGTGCCTATTTGACCCACCCATCTTGTCCCGAGTGATCAGTCACCACAGTAGCGTTACGATTGGGCACGGTGTTGAAGTGGCCACACGATGCTCCTCCTCGAAATGTGATTGGCTATATTCGACTCGCACGACCACCGAATCTAGATCGACGCACGTTTTGTCAATACGACAACATGAAGAGCTCCGTAAACAGCCCGAGTGACCTTCTCTTCCTGAATTTCAACCAGGACGCCTCGTACGTCCGCCCCAAACAACAGACGGAGCTTCCTTTTCTCTACTTCATTGCTTGTTATCGGTTCAATACAATAGACTATTGACAGGTGCTCGTTCTCTGTAGATGCATCAGCGTTGGCACTCGCCAAGGGTTTGGTATCTACAACTGTGAACCTTTCAGCAAGTGCTTCCAGGAAGATATTGGGGGCATCGGGATCGCTGAGATGCTGTATTGTACCAGTCTTGTGGCTCTGGTTGGTGCTGGAGATCAGGTAGGTCACGTACAGAGCAAATGGGGTGGCGAGTGACAAGGCCACTGCTATTTACTCCCTCACGTCTGAATAATTGCTTCTTGTTCTGTTTTTATCGTACATTCTTTAGCCTGCGTTCTCACCGCGTCGACTGCGTGTGTGGAACACCAAGACAGGAGCAGCGATATGTGACTTGAACTTTGTCACGGCCGTGTTGGCCGTGCGTATGAACCGACAGAGGTACATTGTGCGTGGTTGAATGCCTGACCTTAGATGATAGAGGGTAAAGATACGTGTGAGTGGGTGAGATTTTGCTGAAGTGAACGTGTTCTTCTGGCATAGGTTGATTGCAGTACTGGAGCGCAAGATTTACATCTTTGACATTAGTACCATGAAGATTCTGGAGACGTTGGACACGTCCCCGAATCCAAAAGCGTTGTGCGTGCTCTCTCCGCACGACAATGGACATCTAGCTTTCCCCTCTGGAGCTATGCCAGGAGAGATCGTGCTGTATGATGCCAACAATCTTGGTGTGCTGAACGCATTTCAGGCACATCGCACGGCACCCGTGTCGATGGCATTCAACATTCAAAGCACACTACTTGCAACAGCTTCCGAGTCGGTAAGAAGCCTTCGATGACGATTTGTTCTTGATCCAGGTTTGCAGTAACCATGTCGCGATTTGTGCTGTAGGGAACACTGATCCGCGTGTTTGCCGTTCCAAGTGGGACGAAAGTTGCGGCCTTTCGACGAGGGTCCTATGGTGCTCAAGTCTACTGTCTAGCCTTCAACGAGAGCTCCACGATTCTGTGTGCTTCGAGTGACACAGGTACCATCCACTTCTTCTCTCTAACTGGGGCGGAAAGTTCGGCTACAGGTAGCTTCGGCCATTTCACGCCGATCACGTTTACACTGGCTGTCGCTGGAAGCACCTTCGGCTCCACGGTCTTTGGCAGTGCTGCTGCTCCATCCAGCTCGGTCCCAACAACCGTTGACTCTTCGCCTGGCAAACCCTCGGCAAATGCTGTCAACGTCAGTACCACGACACGGACGACGCGTAGTACCAGCTCTGCTGTCAGTAATTTCGATGATGTGGCTGGCGTCATGAGCGCCTACCTTCCCAGCTCTTTTTCGGGTATCGCCGAAGGAACTCGTGATTTCGCTTATGTAAGCAATACGTTGTTGGAAGTTGACGAGGTTGCTTCACTTCAACCGGTTGCTAACTTGTTACTTCCAGGCTCGACTTCGCTCAACTGGAGTACCGAATCAGTGTGCGATCCACGGTCCTAGGGACAACGATAACCCGATTGTACAGTTATATGTCGCAACTGCCGACGGCTACTTTTACGAGTACTCGCTGAACCTTACTATCGGAGGCAAATGCAAGCTGGAACGGGTACGTGACTTTCGTCTTGCTCGTCTTTCGTGGACTCATCATCGTGTGCTTTCTTGGTGATAGGAAAACGTCATTCGCGATAGCACGTCCGAAGAGATCGAGGCCATCTACATGTCGTAGTAACGTTTCTGCCGAACATCTTCGATGCTGATGCATTTACTGGACGATGACACTCCTCTTTCCAGACGCGATAGGTGACAACATCTAACACGCGCAGAAAATGAATGTACAAAGAAAGCGACGTGGATGTATTCCTAAACACGAGCTGGGCAACTAGACCCTGAGGCCACGTGTCTATGACGCAAGACTGCAAACCTTGTGTGGCGTAAGTCACCGATTGGGGCAACCACTTCTACTTGAATCGAGAGTCACTTGGGCAGGCTGTACAATACTATACCAGCTTCTCAAACGCGATGCCTCGAACGCTGTGCCCACGCAAAGATTGCCGCACCATTGCAGCGAATTGCGTAGGGTCATTCCGAAACAATTCTGCAGCTTCTGCTCTCACAATAAAAACGAATACAGTGTCAACTCCAAAGCTTCCAGCATCATGCCAATGTAATCGTCCGTATGGCGCGCACCTTTATTCAACGGATCATCCGGATTTGGCTCGTAGAAGAGGTAGATCAGACCATAAATGACCGAGTTGATGTCCAATACGGGCTTCCAGTCCTCGCGTAAAATGTTTAGACACACGTTACCATCCAGGTCAATGTTCGGGTGGTATATCTGCACAGCACGATCCGTCAATGAAAGCACAACAACACGTCCGTCTACACCTCCTGTTGTCCTGAATACTAACAAACTACACCAGCCTCAGTGACTAAAACAACAACGCACCTTCGTCAGACACTGGACCTTTGGCGGGTCATGTGGATACATCTACAAATCAAGCCACAACAACAACAACTACAGATGAGATTTCTGCACAAGACAAATGACACCCTCATCCACTTCTGTAGTCTCCCCATACAGGCGGGATCTTGAAACTAAAGGCGAACGACGCGCCTTTCCACAGACCCGTGTCCACGGCAATCTGGTCCAATCACAAGCCCGATCAGTCTCGACCTTTTAAAAATGCGTCTGTGAGTGTGTCCCCACAAAACCCTCGCACCTTGACAGTAAATACTGTAAGATCGTTCACTTCCGGGAACGTGACGGTCGCGGCCTTCCCGCCATCCAGCTCCGCAATGTCTTCAATAAAACACACAGCACAACACAACACACCCACCCACCCACCCACCATCTGTTCAGCCCTTTTTTGCACCAGGTTATTTGCAACTACCATCATAATCAGCAAATCGCACCTTTTTGGATCCGAATTTCGCCTGGGGTTCGTTTTTTCTCCTTGCTGATGCCGCTGCGCTTGCCACGACCGACGCCGAGGATCTTCGTCTTGGGCTTTGGGGCCGCCACCCCGGCATTGTCCCCTGCATCAAAAGCTGCTGCCTCTTCTGCCGCTTTCTTCTCTTCAGCCGCCTTTTCAGCTTGTTTGGCCTTGAGACGGATCATCGCGTGGCCTTTGAACTGACACTATGAGCAGCACGACGGCCCCAGCGCTGAGGGATCAGTGATCGAAAATGCCATGGGTTATTTATCAAGTTTCAGAGGTGAATCGTAAATGTACGTGGTCCACTTGTACAAAACAAGGCCAAATGGCTACTTTTGCATCAAATGGCTACTTTTGCATCAAATGGCTACTTTCGCACCAAATGGCTACTTTTGTACCAAATGGCTACTTCCTTCTGCCTCCTCCTCCTGCTCTGACCGTCAGTGTTAATGTGCTTGACTGACTCATAGTTTTGCAGGCAGAATCTGCTTGAGCTGCGGCGTGATATCGTCGTCATCCGGATCCGTAGCGTCCGCAAAGTCCGTGATCTGAGCAAACTTGCTCTCCACCGCCTCAGGCGTGATCTCCTTCTCCAGATCGAGGAACACCCCGCGGCTGCGCATGTACTTGACCTGTGCGACGAATCCGCCGCCGCTTTCAAAGATTTTACCCGAGCACGGCACTGACTCGTGGCATAAGTACACGACCGTGGGCGCCACGTACTCGGGTTTCCACTTGGCCACGAGATCTTCGGGGATGACGGACGCCGTCATCTTGGAACCCGCGCCAGGGGCGACGATATTCACCTTGATATTCGAGCGAGCGCCTTCTTTGGCCAGTGACTTGCCGAAACCAGTCATAGACGCCTTCATCGCGCTGTAATTGGTCTGGCCAAACTGGCCGTATAGACCGTTAATCGACGTGATGAGAACCACGCGGCCGTACTTTTGCTCGCGCATGTACGGCCACGCCGCGTGCGTGACCGCAAAAGCTACACAGGAGACGCAGTACGAGGTGAGTCACGAACGTGAAGAACATGTAGCTTAAACACCGTTGCGGATGATGACTGCACAACGTACTTCCTTGAAGGTGGACGTCCAGCACCTGATTCCATTGAGCTTTGGTCATTTTTGCAAAGCTGGCGTCCCGCAGGATCCCAGCATTGTTCACCAAGATGTCAATGCGGCCAAAGTGATCAATGGCAGTGGCCACGACTTTGCCGCCGTCCGAGACCGAGTTGTAGTCGGCAACGGCGATGCCGCCTAGAAGACAAGAGAACGAGCAGTTTACGGGAGTCAGTGCGAGTCCGTCGATCCCCTTTACTTAGCCCCTTTCGTCCACTTGTATTTGCACACCTTTGGCCTTAATCTCCTTGACGACCGAGTCAGCGGCTTCCCTGCTAAAGTCGTTAACCACCCTATAACAGCAACAACAAAACGAGACAATGATTCACTAACTACTGAGAGCGCGTTGTTTGTTGAGGAGGGAAGACATGCTGAGCCAGCAGCACGCACACTTTGGCGCCCCGCTCGGCGAAAAGAAGCGCATAGCAGCGGCCAATGCCATTGCCGGATCCCGTGATGAGAGCGATTTGGCCACCGAAGCGAAGCATGAGGAGGAGGCGGCGGCGTCTGGAGCTGGACGGGAAGACGTGAGGTGCAGATTTAGGATGTCAAGACCCAAAGAGCAGGTGGTAAAATTGGGTGATAAAAGGATGGAGAGGAATGTGGACACGCCGACGGATTTTTTTTACCTCGAGTGAGTTTATTTTTAACTTGTATTAGGTTTTGGAAACGGAGGAGGCATTGTGATTTCTAGGAAATCGGTTGAGGGGGATCCTAAAAAATAAACAAGCAATTCGCTGAAAAAAAGTATTCCGCTAAAAAAAGCAATTCGCTGAAAAAAACACGCAATTCGCTAAAAAAAACAAGTGAATAGCCGCAAAATCAGTGGATAGCCTACAAGATTGTAAACCGCCTCCAAAACATGATTGGTCCGTACGACTTCCTCTACAATTCAGCAGCCAATTCGCAATGTCTTGACATCTTTGCCTCCACGGACCCTTTTTTTAAAAACACATCCCTTCGAACACCATTTTAAGTGACACCAGTTGGTCTCCCTCTAATCCCCTTCCAGCAGGAACCTATGACAACTTGGAGCTGGCAAAGGATGCTGCTCACGCGTATGTATGGGAAAATGGTTTTACGATTGCTGTACTAAGGTCGGCTAAATGGGGTCGTCCTTTAGCTAAATGGAAGGTGTTGGAAAACGGTGTTTACTTGGCATAAAAACCGCCAGGTCCCAAGCCATCAAGGAAACGCCGTTGTCCAGAGTTAGTTTTCATTTTGTATTTTGTTGCGTGCCGCCGGTGACAGACGAGGCGGATGGTGAGCACATCTCGTGCTACCTCGTTCAGGAGCGAGGAGCAGCTGCGGATCAGGGTGGTGGTTACTTAGACAGATAATGCTGGTAATAAGCTTTCTCTGTAAAATACTTATTTGGAGACCTCCCTAGCCATGCTTTTACAATACAATGAGCCCGATGGCAGGTAAAGAAGTTTTTAGAGTCGCTGTAACGGGGTGAATCGTTACATAACAATTTATAAGAAATTGTTAATAGAATATAACTATAAGAGTTGTATTCTCAGAATATTGTCATAAGGACAAATATTCTGTTGCACTTACGAGTAGTTCCTAATTGGTTGGTATAGGCCATTACATCAACCAACGAAGACGCGCCACGACAGACGCACGCAATGAGTGGTGAGCAGATAGTTGATATACACATTTGTATTTAGACATATTTAGATGAGGATAAATTGTGATTTATTAACAGACATTAATTATTATAAATACAGTTCTACTTTTTACTTTAACCAAGTACTCGCTTCTTCTTACCGTCTTCCTCTGCACGTACGAGTGTACGTGAAGTTACGAGGCACCGCCTTATTCTGTCATCAGAATAAGTAGCTTGTACTGTCACCAGTACAAGCTTCAGGGTGCCCCGTTACACCTGGTAGCACTTCGTAGTCCGTCCAAGGACCACGTTCACATCCAACATGAATATGTTGGATGATGAAGATGACCAAAGCTTTCACGCTACGCTTGACGGCTACTCCCATTTGAGCAGTGTCGAATGGGATGCTGTTGAACGGATGGGTACAACCATCGGCATCCATGCTGTTAGCGTCATGCTAGAGGCTCTCATTAGAGATGCCCAACATGCTACTATCGCCAAGTTCATTCAAAATGAACTTGACGCAGAACGCGAGAAAGTAGCCTTGCTTCACCAACAAGGTTCTCAACAAGCAGAGTTGTTGAGAGAACAGGGTGCTCAACAGTTTGAACTGTTGAGACAGCAGCAGGCTGCTGCCGGTGGGTCGATGCACTCGCGTCAACCCGAAACCTTGAAGATTGACATCTCCAAGTATAGGGGAGTCGAAGAAGACTCCCTCTTGAGATGGTTCGTCGAATTGGATGACGCCATAAGGGCGCGTCGCATCGACGATGGGGATATGCAAGTTGCATTTGCCCAATCAAATCTGGCAGGACGTGCCAAGACTTGGGCACTGGGGCTCAAGTTGCACGACTCATATGCGTTTGGGTCGTTGGAAGTCTTCAAGTCGCGGCTCAGACAAACGTTTGAACCGCCTAGAGCTGAGTTCAGAGCTCGAACCGAACTCTTGAAGCTCAAGCAGGGTAAGCGTGGCGTGCACGCTTACGCTCAACATATACGACATCTCACGAGTTGTATAAGTTCCAACCCGGTTGATGAACACACGTTGGTTTCGGTGTTCATGCAGGGTCTTGCGGATGGTCCCGTAAAGACTCACCTGTTCCGACTCGAGCTAGATTCACTAGAACAAGCCATTTCCATTGCGGAACAGGAAGACTTCAGTCTGAGACAGGCTCGCACCAGCTCGACATCATATCTTCAACCGAGACGATATGACAACGGAGGTCCAGAGCCGATGGAACTCTGTTATGTAGAGAGCGAGAAGGCTCGCTCTACAGACTACAGGAAGTTGCAGAAATGCAACAGATGTCAGAAGACAGGACACCACGCTTACGAGTGTAGTGCCCCTCGTCCAGTGTCTCGCAACACTGGGCGTAGTGACCGTCCACCCATGAGAAAGGGGCAGGGACGAGGGTCCGCTGTTGGTGCAAAGACGCAACAACGGGATGGAACATCAAAAACGGACAGGATCAGTAGGTGCGGAGCACCCTACTGGTCCAGCAACGTCAAGAGAATTTGTAGGCCTCTTGATGAAGGTTGCTCCCAACACACAAACATTGTGCGTTGCTGCTCTAGGTAATGAGATCTCACTTATTACCTTGAAACTCAAAGTGACAAATAAGTTGTCCCTTCGAGCTCTAGTCGATTGTGGGGCGTCCAACAATTTTGTGCAACGCCAATCGCTAGAAGATGGTCACTTTAAGTTCAGTGAATGTGACACACCTCCTACGAGGATGACGGTACGTCTTGCGACAGGCGCATCCGTAACCGTCATGAAGCGTATAGTGAAGATTCACTATACGCTAGAAGATACCCAATATGACGATGACTTTGTCGTATTGGATTTGGATGACAAATTTGATGTCATCCTTGGAATACCGTGGCTCAGAAGGTACGAACCACGGGTAAACTGGCAACATCGAACAGTAACGATGCCTGCCGCTTGTTCATCAGATGGCCATCTGATGAACGTTTTGGAGCGTTCACAAGCGTGTGGATGTACTACGAGTGAGTGCGATGGCCTCACTTGTGGTACGGTCGTTAGAACGACTGCACAAAACCTTAGTGTAACAAACATTTACACTTCGGAGCAAAGTTCCGGCGGCTATGAGGAAACACAGGCTGCGCCGAAGGTCCACCACTCGAATAAGTCGGGTGGACTGGGACAAAGATGTATCCCTAGCGGGGAACATCTAGAAGAGAAACAATCGATCGCTCAGGTTAAGCGAAACGATAATCCTAGATCGACTGGAGAGTCTTTCGTAGAGGATCTCGCTGTGGTTGCGCAACCCCAGCTAGAGGAAGTAAAGGGAATAAGTCCCAAGATTACAAATACGGCGGAAATAAGTTCCCCGAAACCCGCGGGAATAAGTCCCCGGGAAGCCGAAGGAATAAGTCCTTCGAAGCCTGAGGGAATAAGTCCCCAGGAAATGACAGAGACATTGAATGTCATAGTCAATAACGGATCAAGCGTAGGCACTTATACACTTGATCTGATTGCGCCTCCGAAGTTGACTTCGGAGATCACTCAGTTGCCAACGCTCGAACATAAAAGGTTCTTGCGTGATCTGCGTAGTGGCAAAGTCAAGCAGATCTGCGTACTCGTCGCTGACGACGAGTGTGTAGCCGACATAAAGTCAGCAACAGTGTTTATTGAGAACGAGAGAGTTCTCAGTAGTTCATCTATGGACGAGAGTGTCCTTAATGAAAAGACACGAGTTGAGCGATATGACTCTCAATCGTGGGAATCGCTCAAGACCAATCCTCTCTATGAAGATTTGGTTGAATTCAAGGATGGATTCCCTGAAACTGTTCCGTGCAAATTACCGAAGGATAAAGGTATTCGACACGAGGTCGAGCTTAAACCAGGCTCGAAGTACTGTGTCATGAAGCAGTGGCCACTGCCTCGTGAACAAGTACTTGCGATCGACAAGTTCTTTGCCGATCGTTTAGCTGCGGGCCATGTGAGGGAATCAACTTCCCCACATAGCTCTCCGACCTTCTGTGTGCGAAAAGCAACAGGAGGGTGGCGGATAGTGCATGCATTTAACAAGTTGAATGCTGCAACGGTACCGGCTCAGACGCCGATACCAAGGAAGGACGTAATCATTGATGGTATGTCAAAGAGTACCATCTTTTCGTCCATGGATTTGATGGATGGCTTCTATCAAATCCTTATGCGAGAACGGGATATACCCTATACCGCAGTTAGCACGCCTAGCGGCATGCTCTGTGAATGGCTAGTAATGCCACAAGGGCTTAGTAATGCCCCTGCCACGTTCAACAGATGTGTATCACATCTGTTGAGACCAGTACGAGAATTTGCGCCGAGTTATTTCGATGACGTATTCATCCATAGTCGAGCTATGGATGGAAAGTCGGACGTTGAGGTTTACAGATACCACGTCCGACAGGTTCTTACAATCACGCGAAAGCATCAATTGTTTTCAAACCTCAAGAAGTGTATATTTGCAGCAAGCGAAATGCCACTTCTTGGGTGCATCGTTGGTAAGAACGGTGTACGTCATGGTCCCGAAAAGATCAAGGCGATCACCGACTGGCCTGTGCCGGTTGATGTCAAAGGTCTTCGAAAATTCCTTGGGCTAGCGGCGTATTTGCATAAATATTTACGCAATTACGCCGAGATGACTGTACACCTCTCTCGTTTGTTGAAAAAGAACGAGAGGTGGTTATGGAACGCTGAATGTCAGCGCTCTTTTGATGGTATCAAGCAGAGCTTGACACAATCCCCAGTCCTAGCAATAGCCGATCAGGACAGGCCATTTCATGTGGTCTGTGATGCCAGCGATTTCGCAATCGGCTGTGCATTAATGCAGTACGATCTTGGAGGCGTTGAACGCGTCGTCTGCTATCAGTCGCGTCAGCTGCAACCAGCTGAGCGGAACTATCCAGTGCATGACAAGGAACTCCTTGCCATGAAGTATGCACTCGCGAAGTTCAGAGTCTATCTATTAGGAGATAGACCCTTCATTGTTTACACTGACCATGCGTCATTACGCACGGCAGTGAACAGCCCGCACCTCTCGCAACGAATGGCGCGGTGGTTGTCATTCTTTGCAGAATACAACTTTACGGTCGAGTACAAACCAGGACGACTTAATGTCGTCGCTGATGCACTCTCACGTCGTCCCGACTTTGAACCAGTCGCGAAACCCAACAGTGAGACAGTCACTGTTGCGGTTATGACGTCCTCAGTACCATCTACAACGTTGAATGATGATGTGAGGCGGGCATGCGCTCAAGATGGTGAGATTGTGAAGTTGTTGACACATCTCTCACAGCCATCTCGAGAATCGTTGAAACGATTGTCGTCTGCGTATCGATCTGCATCAGATCGATACACTACTCGCAACGGGTTACTGCATTATACAGCCGTTTCTGGTGACACACCACGTGTTGTCATTCCAGATGATATTGATCTGCGTTTGCGGATCATGTTCTAGTATCACGATGCTCCTATAGGAGGACATCGTGGCCGGGAGAAAACATATCTCACGGTGAGTCGAGACTTTTACTGGCCCCGCCAGTATCAGTTTGTGCGAAAGTATGTTCGCGCATGCGAAGTCTGTCAACGAGTGAAGTCAAGTCCTTCACTGCGTGCACCTTTACAGCCTCTACCGGTTCCGGCTGAGTGCTGGGAATCCATCTCAATGGATTTTGTCTTCGAGTTACCCAAAGACGCACGCGAGAATACGGGTATTCTCGTATTTGTTGACAGATCAGCAAAATGGTACACCTAGTGGCTGTACCAGAGTCAATCACGGCAAGTGGCTGTGCTTGTGTCTTTATTGACACCCTCTTCCAACTTCGTGGGTTGCCCCGTGAACTCGTATCAGACAGAGATCCACGCTTCGTTGCTGATTTCTGGCGTTCCGTGTTCAAATCACTCGGAACGCGCTTGAAGATGTCGACGTCTGATCATCCAGAGTCAGATGGTCAGACGGAACGTGCCAATCGTGTCCTTGAAGAGATACTTCGAGGATACGTACACTCCTTTAAGAGTTGGAGTGAGTTTTTGCCAATGGTAGAGTTTGCCATTAACAACTCGTTGCATGCGTCCACGACACATACACCGTTTTACGTGAATGGCTTACGCCATCCGCGTTTACCCACCTTACTAGAGTGTAACTCTGGTTCGAGGGGGGGAGGGACTCGCGCGAGCAAAAACCGAATTGGTTCACGCTCATCACGCTCTGACGAAGAGGTCATTGCGTTTGATGCCGATATCGATAACATCGATATCGAAGAAGATGATGCCAGTGAGAGTGCGGAAGCCCTCACTGAAGAAAAGGTTGATGTTGCTGCAGTGCACTAACAGCGCACTGAAGCTAATGAGTCATCAGATGAGTTCATACTGGCTCGTGAAACGGTAGTCCGTTTTGTGCAAGACTCCATCGCCGAAGCGGTGGATCAGCAAAAGCAAAACGCTGACAAGAATGGAAGGGCAAACACTCGTTTATTTAATAAAGGTGACTTAGTCCTACTGTCTACGGTTAATCTACCAAAGCATGTAGTGACTAACTTGGGTAGCAGTAAACTACTACCCAAGTACACCGGCCCATTTCGTGTATTGCACCGCCTAGGCAATGCATACACGATCGAGTTTCCACGTAAGATGCGAACGCATCCCACGTTTTACGTTGGTCGGCTTAAGCCGTACCATCAGTACGCTGCTTCTTCCGATGAAGGACGCCCTCACGCATCTCGCAGAGAGCCTTGCGCTCCCAATGATGGGCATCGACAAGGGTCTGAAGAGCACTTATCTCAGCCCGAGGCCGGTCAATATCCACACGAGCTACCCTTAGCTCTTCACGCAGAGATGTCAGAGCTCTCTCTTTCTCAAGCTGAGCAAAGGCAAACTCAGCTCGATGCTTCAAGACAGTGTCCGCCATTTGGAGACGCCTGTCCCGATCATGTTCGAGATCGCCGCGTTACGCTTGCGTTACGCGATCAAAGAGGCTCTCGGGGATACACGCTTCCCCAAGATAGTTTGGGGAGCGTCTTTCCTCATCTTCCACCTCCATTAGAGGACTCTCGCGGTGGCCAGCTCCATCTAGTTGAGCAGCTGTTGAACCACCGCGACGCGAACGGACGTCGGACGAGTTATCTCGTCCGGTGGCGCGGTCATCCCCCGTCCTGGGATACTTGGGAGCCCCGCTCCCAACTAACGATCGACGTACTGGGTCTGGTCGAGCAGTACGACGCGGCACATCCTGTGCCGCAGAAGGACCACCGGAGAAAGTCTTCCCGGCACGGTCGTAAAGGGATTTCAGGTTGTCAATCCCTTCGTACATCTCAGTAGAGATACGTACGCGCCACCACGGGCTGGTAAGGAGGTAAGCCTCCTTAGGTGCTCGTGCAGAGTTGTTCACACAACATGGGCACGAGTCTCCCCAAGAGAGGCAGGGTAATAAGTTCTCCCTTGACAGACTATGCAGCTTGTAGCGTGCACCTGTCGGGGTTCGCTTTTCAAACTTATCACGAGCTTTGATAAGTTTGTCGTTCCAAGCGTCACGACCTACATCCTCAAGGTTATGGATGTAGGCTTTCCACGCTTGAAGTAGTGAGAGACCATCACGCTTGTAATTCCCACTGTACCATCGATGTCTAAAGAAAGCATCGATGAAGAATTCATTCTCAGCGCGATAGTTCTTCGCGCTGGGGTCAAGGTGATGGAACCTTGACGAATCGAACAATCGTGTTCGATAACGATCACTCGTCGTCGCCGACAAGTGATCCATGACTGATTTTGGAGGCATCCATGCCTTCTTCTCAGGAGCGAGACGCAAGACATTGCGGTCCCGCTCTTCCTGCGACGTGCCGACAGAAGTACTGGCACCTCGTTGCGAAGTGGTGTACATAGGAGAATCGACACCACTGTTAGCGCCCGAGTCTCGCGACCTCGAGCGCCTTCGCTTCGGCGATGGTTCATCTGAGTCATCAGATGAACCAAAGATGCTACGACGCATAGCATCATCCATGCCACGCTTGGCAGGCGGCTTGGATTCGATCGCCGTCGATACGGATCCGTCTTCCGTATCAGGAGAGTATGAGACTCCGAGCCCATGCTCTGTGAAGACATGAGTGTCTTCATGACGAGCGCCTGCATCACCAGGTGACACAGCTGTGTCACTTCAGCAACCGATGAGACATCAGTCGCTATGGTTTCTGCTTCGTCGTCCGCACAGAGACGCGCGGACGCGCTCCCGGCGGCCTTGCTCGCGCATCGCATGGGCTTGTTAACCGTGCGATGAGATTTTGGAAAGTGGACTCGGACCAACAAGTGCAAACCCTGTCCCAAATGATTTGGGACGAGTATCCATTTAGTCAATCAGTCACTAAAGTGACTGATGGTTAAGGGGGAGGGTGATGTAACGGGGTGAATCGTTACATAACAATTTATAAGAAATTGTTAATAGAATATAACTATAAGAGTTATATTCTCAGAATATTGTCATAAGGACAAATATTCTGTTGCACTTACGAGTAGTTCCTAATTGGTTGGTATAGGCCATTATATCAACCAACGAAGACGCGCCACGATAGACGCATGCAATGAGTGGTGAGCAGATAGTTGATATGCACATTTGTATTCAGACATAGTTAGATGAGGATAAATAGTGACTTATTGCAGACATTAATTATTACAAATACAGTTCTAATTTTTACTTTAACCAAGTACTCGCTTCTTCTTACCGTCTTTCTCTACACGTACCAGTGTACGTGAAGTTCAGAGGCACCGCCTTATTCTGTCAACAAAATAAGAAGCTTGTACTGGTGACAGTACAAGCTTCAGGGTGCCCCGTTACAAAGGTTTCGCGGCACCCTTTGTTTGGGTGCTGCGAAACCTCACGTACACTAGTGCACGCAGAGGAAGCTAATCTACTCAAATTGCTAGTTTGAGTAAAGGTTGAAAGAGAACTGAATTTAATATAGTTAAGCTATCAATTTAACTTAAGTCTTTATCTAACTATCTTAATCTACATTATCGTATGACTACAACCTGCTCACCACTCGTTGCGCGCGTCCAGCAGTGATTGGTGGTAACCTTAGTTGATACGTCTTTTATCAACCAATCTTTGAGCAGCGCATGCATTTTATCCTAAAAAGGGATAATATTTCTTCAATATTATCCATCTCGGATATCATTGGTAGGGAATTGTCACGCTACACAATCTCCCTATTGACACAATTTGGTGTCAATATCATGTAACTGGCTACCCCGTAACATCACCCCCCTAAACCATCAACTACCCATTGATTAATTTTTACTAAAAGGGACAGTGTGACCACCGTTGGATCACTCTGGGAAGGGGAGCACTTGTTGGTCAGAGTCCAACTCATCTGCCAATTCATCGCTTGCTGTCAAAGTTCATGCGACGTGCTGCCGCAGCAGCAAGAAAAGCGGTTGCACACATGCGTGCAGCCAAAGAGAGTTTTTCTCTTGCTTTAGCTGCAGGGTTACTTAGCCTTCTGTTGTGATTTAGCAACCGGCAATGCCGGTTGCGAGCAGTCCACGTGGTGAGTCACCATGTGCGACCGATACATCCGCTGCATCTGCGGCGAGTTCTGCGATTTGCGATGAATTTGAGCCTGAAATCGAGCTCATCTATAATGGAGAGACAGATGATGCATCCGACTCGAAGGCGACACCATACGCCTCCAGATCATCCGGGGCATACACTGCAAGAACCAGGTTGACTGGCTCTGGGGAACATGGCGGCATCATGTCCGAAATCTTCGGACCGAGCAATTCGTCCGATGAATCCTCGCCTCATGCAAGTCCATCCGACGATAGGACGCGTGGTGATGGTAATGATGCCCCAATGCGTCACCACGAGAGAAGCAACTCGAGAGATCGAGCTGCCACTGGTGTCAGTGGTCATGCTGACACTACTCAAGAGGCCAAGGACCGCAATGTCCTGCGCCACGCTCCTCAAGTGGGGTCTCCTTGGATGCCTTCATCCAAAGCGTTAGATCGATTGGCCGGAATAACGACCGAACGGGATCAAATCCTGTTGTTAGATTGCAGGAAGATTTGCCCACCTGATTACAGCACGGAACTATCCGTGCTGAGGAAGAGTTCTTCACCGATGCATTCTTCAAACATCGGTGGTACAATGGTAGCCGTGTACGAGACGGCAAAGCCTTGGTGCAAGGATGGAATGCCTTCATCCATAACATCGAGTGTATTGGATGTGAGACCTGGCTCGGTAAATTCGATGCAGCTTGCACAAGGTTTGAAAAGCGTAACTTAGTCGGTGTACGATACAAGTTGCACCGGCTGTCAAGAGAGGCAGGATTACCCTGTCTCTCGTGGGGTGATTTGTGTCCAAGTTGCCTTGACAATTACTTGTGCCGCTAGGGAGGCCTACCTCCCTAATGATCCCTACTGGAGGGCGCGCATCTCTTCTGAAATGTCCAAAGGAATTGACACTTTGCAATCCCTGTACTCACGCTCGGGGAGGTCGTTTTCTGACGGCCCTTCTTCGAACGCAGTGGGTGGGTCTCATCATACTGCTCGACGAGACCAGGACATTAACAATAATCTGGGCGCTAGGCACCCAGCTGTCCCAGGCCGGTGGATAGCCACGCCAGCGGACGAGGTAACTCTTCCGGACGCCATTCACGTCGCGGTAATTCAAAATGCGCTCCAATACAAAGCTTTGACCAACACCAGAGTCCACCATAGGATGTGGTGGTGACGGGAGCATCTGATCCGGCTCGACGGTTGGATTAGCTTGATGTTGATAGACGGAACCGTGTCAAGGAACAGTTTCACGATGACCTGGCTCATGAACGGACTCGGCGTTACGAGCCTTATGACCTTGCAAAGATTTATTACAATTCCCTAGCGCACGATCTTTTACACGATTCTGCCGCGTTTGCGTTCGCGCAACTTAAGAACGAACGTTGGTTTCGTTCTCTTCCTGACAAGCTGCAGTCAGCTCGTCAGGATATCGCTCAAATGCGTGATCAGGTCGCTTCGCTCGTCGACCGGACTGGCTGGTTGATACGGGACCACTCGAAGGCGGTCTTGGCTCTCGACCGAGGATGTGCTCTTCGCATCTCGAAACGGGCTCGTACTGATAGTACGGGCGGAGACTTCCAACGTAAAACGTAGGATGCGTACGCATTTTAAGGGGCAGTTCAATCGTGTATGCGTTTCCCATTTGGTGCAACACACGAAATGAACCGATACACTTGGGCAGTAATTTACTGCTGCCCACTTTTGTCACTGCGTGTTTTGCTAGATTTACTGTAGACAGTAAGCATAAGTCTCCTTCGTTGAATGAAAGAACATTTGCTCTTTCA